ATGTTCTAAAGGACACACCAGTTACAGAACTGAATTTGAGTGATCCCAAGATTTATAAGCCAGAGCATACAATTTTTATGGGCTTTACCACAAAAATCAAGCTTCAACAACTTCTCAATGATGGAGACATTAGTGAGACACAGCATTTCCAAGTATTTAAAGCAGCTCAAGCCTATTTTAAGGACTCCCTAAGTTACATTTTAACAAAATTTCCACTGTCCAATGAACTAATTATTAAAGCAGGATGGATTGATGTAGGAAGCAGAATAGATTCAAAGTGGGAGAGCGTGGAGTTTTTCATCAACAGATTTAAAGCTATTTTTCAACAACTGCCTGTTGACAAGCTTTATGATGAGTTCTGTGACTACCAGACACTCGCTGATGAATGTTTTGGGGATAATGTGCTGAAGGAAGCTAAAGTGATTGACGGAGAAAAGGATGGAGAGGTGCTTACTCATTACAGAATGGATGTATTGTGGTGGCATATTGCTCAGTTTGTCATCCCTGGCACAGCTGCTAAACGATTTAAACATTTGCCAAAAATAGCAGGACTTGTTTTAGTCTTGCCCCATAGTAATGCCGGAGAGGAGAGATTGTTTAGTATCGTGAGGAAAAACAAGACCGAGAGCAGAGCGTCAATGATGCTGGAGGGTACACTGTCAAGATTGCTGGCCATGAAGCTGCAGTATCCAGAGCAGACTGTACCGTGCCACAAGTGGAGTCCTACAAAAGAACTGTTGGATAGTTCCAAAAAGGCAGCTACTGCATATAATGCTGAGCATTGAAGCTGTCAAAACAAAGTTTATTTCTGTGTTGTTAAGGTCCACGCATGTTTTAAGTGAATTATAACAGGAAAAAAGACTTTCTCTGAATCAGAACCTGTGTTTACTTGGTTTTGTCTGCCGGTAGATCAATCTCCAGATTTTTACTGAAATCTCCAGATTTTTTTGCATCAGTCTCCAGATTTTATGTGTTTTGAGGTTGAGAGGTCTGCATCCATCACATTTCAAAGAAGAACGTGTACTGGAACCGGGAATTTCTTCAAAAGAGGGAGGTGGTGACAAAGCATAATTAAGGAGAGACATGACACCACAAACACAATTCACGAATCAGAATGCCTTTGTTTAATGAGTTTGGTTGTTGGTCGACTAACATTGAGTCGACAAAAAAATATTTTGAGAAAATCGGATAGTATGTACCTTAACAACGAAACATTTTAGAAATATTGCATTATGGGGTCACAAGCGAACGACTAGAAGAGACAAAACATGATACTTTCTCCTTGCCTATGAAATGTTACATGTACTAAATGTACCAGTTCGTTGGTTAAACTACAAACAGCAGTCGTAAATAAAATTGATTTGATATTGTCAGATGATATGAGCTGAACAACCAAATACGTACTGTGATTGAATCATAGTATTAAAAAAGATTGAAAGTTTTTAATTTTGAGGCTAGAGTGGACTTTGGCCAGTTCACTGAGTTTCTCAGGCATCAGTAGCCATTTTTGCAGTGGCCATGATGACTGTGGACATGAATGATGTTAAATGCAGTAGAAACGGAACAAACGACAATTCCGCAACAAATTCAATTTTACTCTATAAAGTTTTAAAATAAACGATTTCAAAATTAAGTGGTTGGGAATTGGGTTAAGCTATATGATTAGAGACTTGGGTTAAGTAAAAAACTTTAATATTTCCAAATTTACCGTCATCTCTCTGTAAATATGTAGCCATTTTTGGTGGCTTTATATTTCTTGTATTCTTGGATTTCTTATAAATCTTCGCCGGCGTCAGGCCAGGTATTAGAAAAGGAAACTTTTACAGCGGCACATTTTTTCCCTATAAATTTTTCTTGATTGAGTTTCAGTACATTAGCTTGTACTGTTGCACATTCAGTGCACCAGTGTTACACCACTAACTTGAGCCTCGTCCACAGCAATAATTTTTTTAAATTTTTATGTGATTAGAACAAAATATGATTTACAGGACACATATTGTTAAAGATAACAATGCAATAACGTAATAACGTTTTGGCAATGCTTTCCTTTATTTGTAGGGCTAGATAAAATCCGATTACAAGCTTCATGGGGACTAAAGACCCCCATTCAAGTCCCCCATCCCTTTCCTACGCCTATGAATGCAATAATAACCAGTTTAAATGATTTTAACTCAAACAAATGTACTCAATGAGTTATAAATAAAATATAATAGAGTTCTTGCATGACGTCTTTATAACGCAAAATTTATGTACGCCATTATTAGCAAATCCTTTGCCTTGTAATGTATCAATCTGAAAAAATATGTTTATGTTTATATTATTTGCACTTTGTCTGATTTTACCACAAACTTTAGACTGATTTAAGCATGAAGTAAACAGATGAAATCATGATTACGATGCTAAAGTACTCTGGTTGAAATACTGAAAAACTATTTAAATGTGCTACACTATAATCTTGTAGCTCTTTGTCAAGATTAAGCACATGTTGTTTTGGTGAAAAAAAAGAATTTCAGAAATATAGGTTAAACGCTGTAAATCTCGGGTGATGAGTCTGTCCATTCAGACTAATAAATATTTAACGCAAATGACAACAAGCAAACTGGCACGTGACCAAGTAGGCGAAATTAGTTTGTACATAAAGAGGAACGTTTGAATTTTAAAAACTGTACTGATAATTTTTGTGAAAGTCCAAGTTTGGTCTGAAAACAGAACAAAGAAAATTGAATGATTTTAGTAAAGACTTCGTTTTATGATAACTAAAACAATACAAATCTTCCTTATATAATTGTATGCAGATGCTGTATGGTCGCACAAAAATTGCCTTTGTCTTCGTTTACAAACGTCCTAGCAATAAAATTTATGTGCGATTAAAAATGTAATATATTTTATTACGTTATTCAATGGGGTTATTACTTTATTTCAATTTCTGAAGTTTATTGCAAGATATTTAAGAATAAAAACACTTTTGCGCACGCAAAATATCTCAAAATAAGAACAATTTACTTACCTATGCCGTATGTCTCTGCCTCATAATATCTTTAAAAAAAACAAACTTCTTAAATGACAAGGCGTCAAAGGCTGAAAAGTCTCAAAAAGTTTGAGTCGTTGATATCAATCATTTATTACTTAAATTTTGTGATCCAATTGTTTCATTAATTTGAAAAAAATTGATTGTGGCGTCCAACCACAAATTTAAAAGATGTGAAGTCTTGGTAGTTGTTTTAATTCAATTAGATTTTTAAGACGAAATACAAAAAGGATGAAAATGTAATTAAATGTAGAGAGTAGTGTAGTAGCTAAATTTTCAAACTTGACAGTTTTCGTGAGCATGTGTAAGTGTGTATAAGACACTTGCGAGTTGATATGGCATGTGATCATAAGTAATGTGAAGAAACATGAGACCTGTACTCAATGATTATAAAATTCTATTTACAACTTTATTTATGAACAAAATTAATTGTTTGTTAACTTCCGCGGTTTGCAGCAACTATCGTAGTTTTAAAACTCATAGAAATTTACTATTTTTCAACACTACAAATACTTGAGGTTTGCAATGAAATACAATGCTACATACACTTCATAATGCTTTAATTCTGTTAATCATTTATATAGTATATTGAAATGAGTTTTTTATGATAATGTTTACTGGCAAAAACGTAACACAAAGGTCAATGCATATAATGTTTTTACTGCCTTTTCAGGGGTTACCATGTTACCGATTGTCGCTTGCCAATCTTCAGGAAAAATAAAACCTGATGTCACATTGACATAACCAGCATGATTATTTAGTTTTGCCAAAAAAAGTTTATTTAAACATCCTGCTAACCAGAAGATTTCCAAAGTGAACAGATTTTAGAATCAACATTGCAAAAATAAACTTGCATGTTAGCCACGTCTCTGAGGCAAACACGTTCGGTATGATATTGAGTTAATTATGATTGAAAACATCTATTTAATTAACATGTACCTATATGTCCTGGTAGACATTTACATCTGCAAAAAATCTTTAAAAGAAACTTCGGAAACATTAGCAGGAGTTTTTAAACTTATTTTCATACTTGTAGAGCACTAATTCTGTAAGAAAAGTATGCTGGCCAAAAGATAGGAAATTGTTACAAACAAACAAAAAAAAGAACACATTTCCGTCGCAGTTAATTTGATTAAAATGTTCTTTAGGTAGAACTATGATTCAGTATTAAAAGCATGCTAGCAAAAGACCATAAATTGATATGAAGAAAGGTGCTTTTTACGCGCAAAAAATCAGGACAATTCAATTTATTTTATTAAAATATGAATACTGGCTTTTACACTGTTAGGTCAAATATATATTCTTAAAGCATAATTAAAGTAATTAGCGAATTAATTTATGTAATAGATGGTTAAAATTTATATCTAATATAAGTGTGTTTACAATTCTAACTTTTCAAAGCTTCACTAAGAGATTTTGCACCTCCATCATCTATATCGTTATAAGAAAAAAACAATTTACTAAGTTTACAATTCTCACTTTTCAAAGCTTCACTAAGAGATTTTGCACCTGCATCACCTATCTTGTTAAAAAAAAGATACAATTTACTAAGTTTACAATTCTCACTTTTCAAAGCTTCACTAAGAGATTTTGCACCTCCATCACCTATCTTGTTAAAAGAAAGACTCAATTTAGTAAGTTTACAATCCTCACTTTTCAAAGCTTCACTAAGAGATTTTACACCTTCATCACCTATACCGTTCAGAGAAAGATCCAATTCAGTAAGCTTACAATTCTCACTTTTCAAAGCTTCACTAAGAGACTTTGCACCCTCATGACCCAAATTGTTAACACTTAGATTCAATTTAGTGAGGTTGCAATTCTCAGTTCTCAAAGCTTCACTAAGAGATTTCGCACCTCCATCACCTATCTTGTTAGAAGTAAGACTCAATTTAGTAAGTTTACAATTCTCACTTTTCAAAGCTTCACTAAGAGATTTTGCACCTTCATCACCTATATTGTTAATCCTAAGAGACAATTTAGTAAGTTTACAATTCTCACTTTTCAAAGCTTCACTAAGAGATTTTGCACCGTCATCACCTATACTGTTATGAGAAAGATCCAATTAAGTAAGTTTACAATTCTCACTTTTCAAAGCTTCACTAAGAGATTTTGCACCCTCATGACCCAAATTGTTAACACTTAGATTCAATTTAGTGAGGTTACAATTCTCACTTTTCAAAGCTTCACTAAGAGATTTTGCACCTTCATCACCTATATTGTTAATCCTAAGAGACAATTTAGTAAGTTTACAATTCTCACTTTTCAAAGCTTCACTAAGAGATTTTGCACCGTCATCACCTATACTGTTATGAGAAAGATCCAATTCAGTAAGCCTACAATTCTCACTTTTCAAAGCTTCACTAAGAGATTTTGCACCGTCATCACCTATACTGTTATGAGAAAGAACCACTTCACTAAGCTTACAATTCTCACTTTTCAAAGCTTCACTAAGAGATTTTGCACCTCCATCACCTATATTGTTATCAGAAAGAGACAATTTACTAAGTTTACAATTCTCACTTTTCAAAGCTTCACTAAGAGATTTGGCACCTTCATCACCTATCTTGTTATAAGAAAGACACAATTCAGTAAGTTTACAATTCTCACTTTTCAAAGCTTCACTAAGAGATTTTTCACCTTCGTCACCTATACTGTTATGAGAAAGATCCAATTCAGTAAGCTTACAATTCTCACTTTTCAAAGCTTCACTAAGTGATTTTGCACCTTCATCACCTATCATGTTATAAGAAAGATCCAACTCAGTAAGCTTACAATTCTCACTTTTCAAAGCTTCACTAAGAGATTTTGCACCTTCATCATCTATATTGTTATATTCAAGAGATAATTCGGTAAGTTTACAATTCTCACTTTTCAAAGCTTCACTAAGATACTTCGCACCTTCAGCTGTTATTTTAGTATGAATAATATCCAATTTGATCAGTTTACAATACTCACTTATTAAAGCTTTGCTCAAACATTTAGCCTCTTTCGCAGTTAGAAAGTCTTTAAGAATATAGAGTTCAGTGTATTTACAATTCTCGCTTTTTAAAGCTTTGCTAAGAGATTTTGTATTTTCATTGTTTAGTGTGTGAAAGTGAACGTCAAGTTCAGTAAGTTTACAATTTTGACTTTTTAAAGCTTCAGTAAAAGATTTAGCACTATTTTTACTTATATTGTTGCCACAAATCTTCAATTTAGTAAGTTTACAGTTCTCATCTTTCGTAGCTTGAATAAGCAAATTAGCACCTTGATCTTTAAGTTTATTAAAACGAATATCCAATTCACTTAGTTTACAATTTCCACTTTTTAAAGCTTCACTAAGATACTTTGCACCTTCAGCTGCTATACTGTTATCTTCAAGAGACAATTCAGCAAGTTTACAATTCTCAGTTTTCAAAGCTTCACTAAAATATTTTGCACCCTTATAATCTATCTTGTTACCATTGATAATTAATTTAGTAAGTTTACAATTCTCATAATTTAAAGCTTCACTAAGAGATTTTGCCCCTTCTTTACCTATATTGTTATAATCAAGAGACAATTTAGTAAGTTTACAAGTCTCACTTTTTAAAGCTTCACTAAGATACTTAGCACCTCCAGCTGCTAGTTCGTTACGACTAAGAGACAATTCAGTAAGTTTACAATTCTCACTTGTCAGAGCTTCACTAAAATATTTTGCACATTTATCACCCATGTTGTTGCCATTGATAATTAATTTAGTAAGTTTAGAATTCTCACTTTTTAAAGCTTTACTAAGATATTTAGCACCTTCTTCACCTATATTGTTTTTTCTAATTTCCAATTCACTAAGTTTACAATTTTCACTTTTTAAAGCTTCACTAAGATGTTTTGATATATTTTTAACAGAACAGGAGATGATTTTCAAAGAAAATACATTGCATGCTGTTGCATTTGTCAAATATTTTGACAATCTAATGACGCTATGATTATCAGGAAATTGGCATGAAAAAAACGCGAGTTTTCTTAATTTTCGGCATTCAGAGAGAAATTCAAAGAAGGCGTTTGAATCAAGAGGCGTGAAAGAAACGTTCTCAATGGATATTGTTTCAGAAAAATTATTTGACTCGCAAGCTGATCTCATCTCATCGTCGTCTTGTAATTCGTAAAAGCACTTCATTCCAAGAAAACCAAGTGCTTTATTACCATCAGAGAAAAATAAATGTGACATCCAACTTTCTAACCTGTAATTATAAAAATATCGTATTGTGAAACTTTTAAGAGTTTGGTTTAATTTGTTTTAAAAAATAAAGCCCTTCAGGAAAGCATCTTGACATGAGAAGTTTTTGTAAAACAACTATGGTAACAATAGCTAGCTATAATCTTTTAGTCGCAAATTAAAATAAATCAGATAATGCACACAACGTTTACCAAAGCCAAGTGCAAATTAATATTACATGAAAGTAAAAACTCCTTGCTGCTTCTCAGAACAACCAGTTCAGTTGCGTTGGCAGCGTGATAGTTGACTGGAAGAGGTTAGAGAGGTCAAAATTTATTTAGGCATGTTTTAATTAGTTAATTCGCCAAAAACTTTCATTAGAAAACAAATTATATCTGTATGTCATGTATGTACTAAAATGGGCCTCACAGTGCAACGGAGCAAGTTTATAAGAAGCAAAATATTTGTAATTTTACTTTAACAGTAGAACCTGTATTAAGCGGCACCGTATTAAGCTGTCACCCTGTGTTAAGCGGTTATATGGCAAAGTTTCCTGGTGCAAATACTATTAAATTGACCTTTATTAAACGGTCATCTCTATTAAACGGACGCGGTCACCTTTTCCAATGTGCTAAGCTTAATTTTTTGTTATTTTGCACTTGTATTAAACGGTCAGGTTAAGTAGGTACACCCCATAGTAAAATATATAATTAAATATTTTTGTTGGAACATATCACTTATATTGTATACATGTCTTTATATTGCATTTATCTTCCATAAAATGACTCAAAAGATCCAACAATATTTTCTGTTTGTGCGGACAAATACACCAGCAATTTAATGTTTCTTACGTCCCTTCAGCCATTGACAAGAAAACCTATCTCCAAAAAAGGGATATAGGCACGGAATATATAAGTTATAAACATCCTCTCTGTTGACACACGCTTACCAATGATTATTTTTCAGCAGTTTGAGCTGTGACATTTTATGTATACTATTTTTAATTTCTAGTTCAAACTAAGAAAAAAAGTGCTTTATATAGTGTTGTTAATTGGCATGTTAACGAACAATACCGATTGGTCAACTTTAGTTTGTTAAATGTTACACGTAGCCCGTTTGGTGACTTTCCTAAAGAACTATAATAAACGGTCAACCTGCAATAAGTGGTCAACCTGTATTAAACGGTCACACGAGAAATCCCCATTTGTGACTGCTTAAAACAGGTTCTACTGTATATAGATGTAAAAGAGAATATTTGTCATGTAAAATTATAGCTACTTTTATCTGGATCGTTTATCAGGAATCTCTATACACACAAAACTTTTTACGACGTTTGTCTCTCTTTCAAAAGCCTTTTTTGTTTAAAACTCATTTTCGAAATATGTTTAATTGCATATAGTTGTAATTGTTGTAATTAAATGTGATATTTACCCATAAGTACAAAGATCATTCCCTGTTCTCAACGCCGATATTAAAAAAAAACACGTACATGCGTTAGCCTACCTTAGTGTTCTTAATGGCAATATTTAGTCGACGACTTTTCTTCATACACAAAAAAAGGCCTATTATGCTTTGGTGCAAATGCGTGAAATATCGATTAAAATAAAAAGGGAGAATGAGCTTTGGGTCCGGCTAAATTTTTAAGTGTGCGAAAATTTTGTTCAGTGAATTTTGTTCGAAAATTTTGTACATGCTTCTACCTTGAATATCAACTCAAACTTAACAAAATAACATGAGCCCCAAGGCAGCCAATGGGCATAATGGTGAAAATTCTGAGCCTACAAGCAACTTTTTAGAAATTGCTCAATTCGTCTATTATTTAGGTCATTATTTGTTTTAAAATACAATTATACACTACTAACATCATGATTTTGTTGACTAAAAATTCTGATAATTTTTCCTTTTTTAAAGCTTAAGTTTCTTAACTCCATATTGCCAGGCTTTTAGCAATATGTGTTTCCTAGGCATGCTGCGTAGTCCCAAATTTAAGAAAAACAGCCAATTAAGTAAGTATCGTTCACCATTTTAATTAAAAATGCTACTAAGCTGTAAGTTTTATGCACATACAACGCTTACAAAATATGATTACCACTTGATGTAAAATGCCGGAAATTGCACTTCCGAGACGTTGAAAACAAAATTTTCCAGGTGAGTATGTCCCCAGACCTTCCAAGGTGGCTAAAGCTTTTGGCGTTTCTTGAATTACGTTCCAGAAGTCCTAGTTCAGTCCCTGCTGAGAAGCAAGTAATTTCTATGTGTTGATTAGAATAATTAAATTTGTTGTCAATTGCTATTGCCGGTTAGCGTTCCCATATCAATAGTTTCACGTCAGTGATTGCTTTTTCTGTGATTAACTTACAATTACAACTGTATGGGAACAACGCTTTACACAAAAAATCGGTGTTTTTTTGTGAATATATATGACATGCTAGGTTTAACGAAAATGTTATTGACATACTCATTAATATACGAGGTTTGAGTAAAACGTTTGTGGATGAAGATCGTCCAGGTTAGTAGTGGCCTGAGAAGGACTGTTGGTATTGATGTAGACTGACGTTTCGACAACCTTAGCGGTAGTCATCTTAAGAGTCAAGTGTGGAGTAAACGTCAGGATAGCCGTTTTTGTTATATGGTTCTTACGTCATCGTATTGTGTGTACAGAAATTGTTTTGCAGTGTGGGTTTCAATTGTGTATTGTTAACTTGGATTAGTCTAAAGTTATTAGTTAGTTGCTTCTTTTTGTATTGTGAATGAGCCGTTTGTAAGGAGCTGGTAGTTATTGTGATCTGTCCAGGGGTTTTTGTTTTAAGTTGGTCTACCAACTCCCTAATATAAGCCGTTGTCTATAGTCAGTGCTTAAGTAATACATTTAGATCACAACAATTACCGGCACCTTAGAAATCACTCATTCACAAAAAAAACAAACAAGCAACTAACTCATAACTTTAGACTGATCCAAAAAAACAGAACACAATTGAAACCCACACACCCACACATTTCCTGTACACAAATTACGACGCTGTAAAAACCAGATAATAAATTCGCCTAACCTGACGTTTTAACACGATACTTGAAGAGTGTTTCTACAACTATGTTTTAATTTAGAGTTATTTTGGCCAAGTCTTGTTTGTTCTTCACTTTATCGCTCGTCAGACGTGGTGAAGCTGCCAATTTTTATCGAGTTTTGCCTCCACCTTGTATCATGATCAAGCTAAACTCTCCTGATTTGAATTGAGTTTACCTCCCAAAAATTGGGCAGAATTTGTTCTTATTGATTTTTTAAAGATGAAGGGAAAGTTTACAACAGAGTTGTGTTAAAATTGAATGCAGTGCCATGCAAAGTTAGTGAGAACTACGGTATATGCTGTATAATATAAATAACTATTAAACTACTTGCCTGCTCAATTTGACTGACTGTATAGTGTAGACAATTATAATGGGTTTGGAAAGTTGGATTTATGCAAACAGTTGTAAAGTACTACTTCGCGTTTCTGTAAGTGAAGTATTTATTGTTATAGTAAACAGGTTACTACTTCAAAACCAAGATAAAAGAAGTGTGTAGAACAATGTGCTAAGATTTGCTCCTACCTTGAAATTTTTGTTCAACAATTGCTTATGATTATATCATTAATATGCGTGAAAAATTAAACATATTGTTGTCTCATCTCACCAAATCCATACTTGGTATGATTCCAGGTGATCCACAAATTCAAATCGGATACATTGGTTACAATGAAGTTGAATGTAGAGGAAGCAAAAATAGATGGCAAAGAAATTCTTTTGTCTTATGAAGAATTAGTACAAATCAATAAAAGAATTCTTTAAACAAATTGTAAACAAATTTAAATTGCTCATGATCAAGCAACCTAGTCAGAGAAGCAAAGTCTGTCTTCAACATGTGACCTTTCCAATTATGTTTAGTTCTTTGTACAAAATACTATTTTGAGAAACTTGATTTGTAAGTCTTTCATTAATGTTTTTATCAAGAGATAAAAGAAACAAATTCGAAGGCGTGATGGAAAATACAAAGATTTATCAAGTTGTTTATCATTTAATTCCCAATTGTTAGTTTGTACATATAAATAATTAGTATTGGTAGCTGTAAGTTGTTTAAGCAAAACAGAAGAGTAGTAGTGCTTGAAGGGGTTAGCATTTTTGAAAAATTATATCTTGTTTTTGACATACATTACACAATTCCAAAAGACTGTGAGGAATACACAATAATATCTATAGAACTTGATAAATTTCTTCGCCTACACTGTCAATTAATTATTTTGCTTTCATGCAGTAATAGACAGTGTTTTGTCAGAGAAACCAATGCACTTTAGTTTCCAAATTTGTAATTTCAATGGAAAATTAATGTAGTTCTGTTCAGTAATAGACCCAAGGTTCTGCCAAGCAGTTTACAAAATACAAATTACCAAGCAACAGTGTCATGGTGTTTTGAATTTTTTTTTTTGTAGCTCTTCTAGTTCAACATACTTTCTTTATGAGTTTTCAGTAGATTTATCAGGTAATGACAATACACATATGATACTTATCCATGGTAAATTTTCAGTTGACTTATGTCATAGAACTGAAGCAAACATTTTCTCGCTTCCTTTTGAGCATTTTAACACAGATTTATCCATTTGAGCAAGAAAAATAGTTGCACCAAACTGTTTACAAACAGTCAAACACACAGAAGCATGAAATAAAGTATAAGTTTGACGAGATTGACAGGTCTACTAATGAATGACGTTTAATTTTCACTTTCAAAAGGTTAAAATGTCATAAAATAACTTAAATGTTACAGCCAAAATATGCGTTTCTCTACCGTCGATTTTCTTTATTTTGATGTGTGTGTGTACTGTGTTTTTCACGCAATGCTGAAGCATTATTTTCACATGGTATGCTGTCGGTATCGTAATTGTTTTTTTTCTCGCTTGTTTTCGTTTATATAAACAGTATTAGAAATCAGGAGGGAGTGAATATTGAAAAAAATTTTTAAAGTGGAAGTTTTGACCAACAAAATCCGCCATTACAGCTATGTTTTTGACCACGGTGTCCAGGCTCCTTTTCCCCTCCAGGTCTTATAGAACTCAATGGTGGTCACCTGCAAATTTTCAGTAAGTTAAAGGCACGGGTAAGCTTTAACTCAGCCCATTGAAGTAAATATATCTGGAATACTAACACCATTGAGTTCTATAATAACTGAAGAGGCTATCTCAAGAGCGGCTTTGAATATTGTATGACGCCAACAAAATGGAGGATTTTGTCCTTTGCCGCTGAGATTTACCGAAATTGACAGCTTTTTTGAAAGTTTCGCAATTTTCCACTCCTAAATACACAAAATGTATATTTGTATTTCTGATTTGGCAAGCAATTTTTTGATGAAAATCAAGATAAAAACCTTAAATTCATAATTTGTGTTTTAAGTTACAGCTTACAGCTGTTTGCTTGTTGCTGTTGTTCGTTTTAAAATGATTTCGAAAATAGTCCTACACTTTTGGAACGTAGTGTTTGGAGAATCCACTAGATTTGTTTTCTCATTAGCAGATTTTTTCACTTAATGCTTGAACATAAGGTTTATTTTATGGGCTTTATATATATGTATCTTAGTGTGCATTATGCTGAAGTCTTTTATTTGCTGTTTACATAACTTCCCAGTGCATCTAAATACTCTAATGAAAAGCAACAACTCAGTGATCTACAGTGGTCTACATCCGAAAACATGTAAAAACCATTTTCTGAAGTATACAGCAAACGATCAAAAGAAATCGATCCCCAAATTATTTCTTCCAAACTCTACGCGACACTTTAGCTTAAAACTTATCGAGGAGGCATTACTTTAATATTTGCTCATCTGGCTGGCAAAATTAATGTTAAGAATTTGGTGATGATGAATTAACTTAGAAAAATACATCTAGTCACATACAATATGAAGATACAATCAAACATTTTCAATGATACAAATGCTCATTGATCATAAATTTAATACCTCTCTAGAATAACGCTGATATCTTTTCCCTTCTCTTTCTTTTCATTTCCAACCAAACCAGCAGCAAATTCGATTACCAAATGCCATTTAGGATCTTGAACATGATCATCCAAAAACTTTCCAATGTTTTGCCAATCGTCAACAATATACCACGCTGCAAAAAACTCTTGAAGAGTCAAATGAAGAAAACAGTAAAGATGGCGTTCATCATCATAAATCTTATTGAAAATGCCACAGTTTTCCAGATTTTTAAAGTTACTGTTACTTTTTCTTTCAAAAATCAGGCGTCCGTCTTTAAGCCCTTCCATGGCAACATATTTTATTTCTTGTAGATCTTTATCAAGCTCGGATGGTAAAGGAATTCTCAAGTAATCCTTTTCTGTAGTCTTGCCCCTGAGAAGTGGATGGCTTTGCCATAGTAAAACTTTAATTGCTCTATCGTACAATTCAGTCATAGTCTTTGGACTGTAGTTTTCATCATCTGCAAAACATTCCTTTAAGGTCATACAAACAATTTTAGTGTTAATAGGGATATAACAAAAGCTGCGAAGTTCAAGAGAAATTTCAATCTTATTTAGAATACGGTCAGCAATATTTCTATCTTCATGACAAAACTTTTCCACGAATTCTTTTATCTCATTCTCAAAAAAGCCCATGATTTCAACTGTCCTCGCGAATTCCATATCTCTAAATTTACGTTCAGCTGTGGGTCGTGATGTAATAAGAACAGTAACATCAGGCAATAGTTTACCTTCAACTAGCATACTTAAGTGTGTAATGACGTGCCTTTTTTCATTAGGGGACCCTGAGTCGTCAGTTTGAATATCTTCATTATCTAAAGATAATTCATCAAGACCGTCGACCATAAGAACAGTTCTTTCAGGATTTAACATTATGAATTCGTAAATATCTGAAAACTGTTCAAATGAAAATCCAACGCAACTTCTTAACATTTTTTTAAAAGTAATGTACTTCTCTTTAATCGCACGACATTGCAATAAAATGACCAGCTTATTGCGCCAAAAGTCGTCTTCATTTGTCTTCCATTCATGAATAAGTTTTTTCGTCAACATAGTTTTACCAATTCCTGGCCTTCCGATGACTAAAATGGAGCTAGGATACGACTTGCTATTTGGAAGTGGCTTAAAAATGTCAGTTGCTCTTGTTAGTTTTTTCGCACTTTCATTAGGTTTGAAATGACAATGAAGGATCTCGTGCCTTTCATGCGTTTCTGGGTAAGCTTTACTTAATTGTCTTTCAGCTTGCATTATGACGTTCACATAAATATTTTCAAGATTTTGCACAGACATTTGTGCCTTGCCTACGTTATCGTGAATATTTAATAATTTGTTCAAGTGAGGTTTATTTTTTTATTTCTTTTATCCAATTTCGAAACTCTGCACGTTTTGAAAAGAGGTATACCGTGAAAAACTCCTTATCTGATGTGAAAAAATTGTCATTACTGGCCTCATTTAATAGGTATATTAGTTGACATATCGTCATTATTATCGATAAAACATCAACAGCTACAACAAATTTAATCCACCATTCACTGTTACCATCGCGAATTTTACAATTAACGAATGTCTCGTTATATCGAGGAAGAATTATATTGTTTAACAAAGATTTTTTTGTTTGTTGTCGGACGCCACGAACAAGAATAGTCAATGGGAAACATGGATGGAAACAGTACTGTAACAAATATAGACAAACCGATCACGCGTACAGTCAAATAAATGATGTAATAATTAAATGCCCAAGAACTAGTTGCAACCTTTCTGACTTCACTGCTTCTTTCTGACAAGAACTTATCAAAGTTTTAAGTCGATTGGCCACAGACTGTCCACAGATCATACCCCAAAAAGAGAAAAAGAAATTAAAGGACACCACATATATATTATCCCAAGTTTCATTTTGGTATTGTCTCAAACATCTTGATTCAATATTCTTTATAAGAGAAGTTTCTTGGAATTTTGAAATCATCTTGCCATTACAAGTAAAAGAAGTTTGACGATCAAATGTTTTCGAAATTCCAGAAGCGATGATTGTAAATGTGAAATAGATAGAGAGCAGTAGTTTTTCAAACCAGGAAAACAATTCAGTGGTATGGCTCTGAAAATAGCATCCATTTTCGTATCCTTTAAAAAATGGATGAAATAGACATGACTAATTTAGTTTCAACAATCCCCGTATAGACATAGACCACATTTGTAAGAGCATAAACTGCAGTATAAAATAATACACACCATTATTTGTGGCTTCAGTTAGCTCCACACAGTTTGGCTTCCAGATTGTATATATGAACAATTTCAGCCTATATTGTAGCAAAATGTATAATTTGGTTGCAATATTTAGTAGCTATGAAAAAATCCAGTACATGCAATAAAAAAATAGTAATAATACTATAATAATAATAATTTTAAATTTTAGCAGGTCAATCTTGTAAGTTTAAAAGTATAGCTGTTTTATTAGGACAACTGCATTCAAATTATTTCAGTAAAATAAAAAATTTCTAGAATTTATGCGATAGAGTTTCATAATAAAAAACATTTAGGATGTCCAAAAGGTTAAAAGATAAAAAATACGATAGTATACACTAAAAAATTACAAATTAGTTTAGATTATAATATAAATCATACTTAAAAATAATTTACGCTCGTCCTTGAATCTTAGTAAAGGTATGTAAAGGTATTTCTCTTCTATAGCTGTATGAAAGTTAATTACTTTAGTAGTTTCGCAATATAAATGTTCCGGAAGATATTAGGATTATTTTGAAGAATTTTAAAAATCAGTTGGATAAGGGTAACTAATGGGTATTGTTTTCCATAGCACAACTTTTAATAAATTTTGTAAAAGCTTAAAAAAATCTTGAAAAGCTTAAGTCACATAACGTACATTGATTTAGTTATACGATATCCTAAAATACCTATGATCTGTTTCTAAAATACCTATTTTAGAATATTGTGAACTCAAGCAAATAATTAAAGAAAAACGAAGACAAATGTGGCGTCAGTTATAAATGATCTGTAGTTTGCAAACAAAACGTCACAGAATATCAAACATACAAAAGGTTACTCGTGTCGGACCCTTTGATGTTTTTGTCGTCGCGTATGTTGTGCCGCACATATCGGCAGCCATTATTCCAAAAAGATGTTTAGGACTTTTCACTTGTTCCAAACCACTTAAATGACACGACGTCATTTCTTATATTGAAATTATTTCCACTTCATTGTGAAAAAATGACGTCATGTAATTACAGTGGTTGAAGACAAGTGAAAACACAAAGTATCTTCCTAGAATGATGTCGGCCGTAAGGACGCAGTGCTCACTGGCATGGCCTTTTATAATTTTTATTCTGTGAAAACGTGTTTCACTGATGACGTCATAACTTATTAACATGGCCACTTGAAAAGTTGGCACATTAGGTCCGTATTCAGCAATAAAATTAACTAACTTTTAGCGAACTGAAAAAATATATTTATACATCAAACTAAATCTAGCATTGTGGATTTTTAGTTACAGAAAAAAAGAGGCGATCAAACACTTTGAACAAGGCAGATGGTCAATCCGTTTGTACTCCTGATGATGACCTCGTGTACCTGTGGATTTACCCGAGAAACGTCACGATGCTGTACACCATGTTCATGAGAGTGAAAAGCTCACAACTCAATTGTCTGAATGTTCATATGAGTCCATGCCTTCATTGTTTATTAACATCATTTACCTTGATGTTGCCACCTCTTTCTGACTGGCTGATAATGAGGATGAAACAAGTACTGAATGCGTAATTACTGTGCATATGTGTAGATTATCACACAAATCTACCCTTTTTGCAGATTCAACATTCTCTTTATCTACAAGAGAACCGATTTTAAGCAACTGAACTGCTAACTTTTCTCAAATAATTCCCTAAAGAATTGTACAAAGAGAGGGAAAGACAGGACACTAATGCAACTGCAGACAATTTATTACCTGCTAGTGGCGAAAGTATAACAGGCACAAAAAAACTACTTAGATCTACACTGAAGAAACAAGCCATTGCACCAAAATCAAAACATGTACTTCCGCCTACATGTATCATTTGTAAAAAAGAAAAGTCTTTTGTGACTGAAGTGGTAAGTGACACATTTTTATTGTATTTTTCTTTTTATCGAAAGCTTTTACATCCTACATTAAAAGCTCGCTTATATATTTTTCCGCATTGAAAAGAAATTTTTTTACGTGAGAAACAATCTTTGTCTTCTTGATAATTAATAATTTCACCAAAAAATGTTCACTTATGACTAATAGGGCACTCGAAAGCGAAAGCTAGATCGACTGGTTATGGCAGAGACAAAAGATGGGGGTAAATTAAGAGAAGCAGCTAGGAGAAATTCAGATGAAAGTATACTTGTAAATATTGCTGATAAAGATTGTGTAGCTTTAGAGGTTAGGTATCATAGACGGTGTTACGAACGATACACTAGCTTTTTAAGACACAGCAATGTAATAGATGAAGTTTATGATTCTGAAAACTATGACAGATACGCATGCAAATACGAAAAGTCCTTTGATGTTTTTTGTGAAAGATTTGTAAAGAAAAGACTGCTGATGAACGAAGAAATTTTTTTTATGAAGAGAATGAAAGCTGAGTTTGTAAAGACAGTTTCAGAAATTGAAGGCACAGATGCGTCAAATTATAGAAATTTTCGATTAAAAGAGAGATTGCGAAAGAAATTCCCTCAAATTGTTTTCTTTTCACCAAAAGAACGGAACAAAAGTGAAATTGTATACGTTGAAGGTCTTTGTCAAGGAACTGTGGCAGAAAATGATTTAAATGAAGACGCAGAAACTTCGCAAAGTGAGATGGACACAGAAGATGAATTTTTCAACAATGACGTTCCAAAAGGCAGCTGCAATAAAACGACGACCCTTAATGAAGTATTTAACGTAGCGCTAACATTACGGGGCAATCTACGTGCTAGTACAAAATCAATATGGTACGAAAACTGGCCGCCCCTTGCTTCTGACATAAATAATGAGAGTGTTAGGAAAATTGTTTCGCCAACTCTGTTTAATTTCCTCGCATGGATGCTTGGTTTTTCAGACGACCCGGACTTGTCGGAATATGTTGAAGTATGGGAGAAGAACGCTATTAAACTTTATTCATTATGTCAAGATCTGATCAACGTTAGCAGTAAAGGAAAAATGCAAACGCCTAAATCCTTAGCCTTAGCCTGACAAATTTCTGGCTGTTCAAGCCTGATCAGCCTTTTGAACGGTCTTGGATACTGTGTCTCCTTGTCATCCGCAATGGCGTATGATTCTGCCCTTGCCCAAACAACTATTGATACATCTAATATTGTTCCCAAAGAGTTTGTAGAGAAAGATTATGTTAACCTGATTTACGACAACATTGATTTTGGCGAGGACATAAAAAAACAAACCCATGTCACAAACGGAATTATAACGCAGAAATTGTCAGGCCAGCAACACATAACAATGCAAAATTCCAGCATCGTCAAAAAGTCACAGCGAACTGTTAAGATGCCGAATACCAACATAGCAGAATATAGTATTGGGGCAAAAAAGACTCCAATATTTTTTGATATCAATGAAGTCGCCCGTTCAATGCTCATTGATAGGAACCATGAGTTAAATGAAGCAGCTCACAAGCTTGATTTAGCATATGTTTTAACGAAAATGGTTCATGTCACTGATGAAACAGCACTGCCTGGATGGACCGGCTTTAACACCATGCTTATTGAAGAAATACCTGAGGTATCGAGTGGGTTACCTGCCAGTTATAAACGCGCCACCAACTGAATATTCTACAATTAATGAAATTCTTAAAAGAAGCAAGAATATCGCAGAGAAGCTTGACTTACAATATGCTGTCTTAGTCTTTGATGAAGCAGTTTACTCTAAAGTCCAGCACATACGATGGAAAGAACCCGTTTACTATGATAAACTGGTCATACGTCTTGGAGAATTTCATACTGTCATGTCTTTTCTATCTGCAGTGTCAAAGCTCTTTGAAGATGGAGGACTTAAGGTGCGAATTCATATCTTAATTTTCACATATAAAACTTGTACAAGAAATAAGTGGCAATTAGATAAATACGTTTCTAAAAGTAATGATTCCGCAAAACGTTCTTTAGGATCTGTTAATTGAGTCGGGTGTTGTGAGCGAAGGATCCGTAAAGAGTGTCCTTTCTGGAAAGAATTACAATAGATCGATGTCATGCCATAAAATTTTGTACGAAGGTTTGAAGCATACCTGGATGATTTAGAAGAAGAAAAAGATGGAAGAATAATGGTATTCCTATGTGAAATGTCAAATTCGTTTCCAGATAAAGGTTTCCGCGATTGTATTGAAAGTGAACTGTTTGAGGAAATATGCGAAGAGTACGAAAACTTCATACAAAATGCATCCTCAAAATCAAGAACGTTTGCTTTCTGGAGTATGTACATCAAAATGATAGGTAAATAACAATAAACCCTCTCATTTATTTTCTAGGTTGTAACAAGGTCAAATCTACAGGACATACACTTTGAATTTATCAATTTTAGATATACTTCCTACTTTTAGATATTTTGTTGATGTTTATCAGAGCTACAAGGGAGATAAACTGGAAACTACATTTGACAACCTTTAGAGCAATGTTGCCATGGTTTTCGCCTGTGATCGGATAAACTATGCAAGATATGGGTCTGCATATTGGCTTGAGATGGTTGCTTTGGATCAGACACATCCAGGTTTGATTTGGTCATTGTGTCATTTAATTAAAGTCTTGCTTATTACGACAAACAATTGTGATATATTTTTATTATATAGGAATCTTGTCTGAAATATCATGTAACTTTGCTGTACAACGTCAAAACAACTATGGTTTTTCTGCTGTGGCGTGTGATCAAACAATTGAGCAAACTGTAAACCGCGATTCGAAGACGAAGGGTGATTTGACTGGAATTTCTATGAATCCTGGAGCGGTGCAAAGATGGATGCTATCACAATCGCACAGAGCAGCAATAACAAGAAAGTGTAATTACATGGCGGGGTTGGAATATAAGCCAAGGTGAATTTGATTCGCATATTCTGCTATGAAGCTTAGGGTTAGGACGGGTTGTTTCGTGTAAATAAATTTATAATTCCCTTCAAATGTTGGAGACATCCTCTTTTCATGCATTTCAGAAAGCGTAAAGACCTTGATTACTCCAAGTGCAAACGCTATGAGCAATGTGTTCAAGACGTACTAACTTCTATATCCCAAATGGCACATCCTTTTGATGTTGATCAAGAACATTTGATAAATTTGGCAAGTGGAGTAGAGTTAGAAACCACTGTGGCAGATCGACTTCTATCTGCAGAGCAACTGGGTGAGCGGCAGTTCCGACAATCCGGATATTTTCACAAAATTGGAGCGCAACAGCATTGAAACGTTCTCTGGAAGAAGGAAACAAGTACAGAGTGGCCAAAAAGGGAAGGAAAAAAGCATCAAAATGAACCGGAATTTTTTTGTCAAGCTTTTAGTCATAGCAAAAAATCGTGAGGTCAATTTGAAGGAGGTATTATCATACAGTCTCGGATCGTTTCCTCTTTCACTTGCAACACCAAATGGAGGACTCGTAAAAACTGCAAAGTCTAAACTGCTTGAAATTTTGGAGAGAGAAGCAGACAATCCAGAAGTCGATATTCGCAGCTTTCACAACAATGCTCTTATAGTAGATGCAATGGCTGTCTTGCAAGTTATGAAAGGTAAATGTTAAAGACACGTTGCATGCACAGACCTTCTTTTATATATGCAAACACGACATATTCTCTTGAATTTAATAACGTAGACTTGTCTTTCTGTGTCGTAACTTGACATAAAGTGTTCTGTTAATTCTTTGCGCAATTCAGAGGCCTCTCATTTTAATTGCTTATTTAAGGAAAGTGGAAGACCTTCGGTGAATATCTGACTCGATATTTCAATTTCTTCTGAAAGTCGCATTTCAATGTAATGCTACAAGATTGGACTTCGTCACAGATCGATATCCAAAATTGAGTATCAAGAACGCTGAAAGAAAGAGACGGGCCGAGAAAGGAGTTCAACGAATTCGAATTTTTGGTAAAGATCAGCCCGTTCCAAAGCAGTGGAAAAAATTCTTAAGTTGTGGAGAAAACAAGGAGTGCCTTATGATTTTTTTGTGCGAACATTGGAAAGAGTATAAATCATCTCAACTGACGCAAGTTGAAAATTTATATATTACTACAAAAGAAAAATGCTATGTACTTTCTTGTTCAGCTTTTGACGAGGACCCGGTTTTATGTTGTGAATGCAGTGTGCTAGAAAGTAATCATGAGGAAGCCGACATCCGTATGCTTTTACACGCCAAGCATGCAATGGGCACTAACGTTAATGTAATTATTAGGAGTCCAGATACAAATGTCTTCATTCTTTGTGTAGCAATGCAAAAAAACCTGGGTTCAAAGGATTTGTTTTTTATGACTGGTACTGGAAACAAATCTCGCACAGTACATATAAATGCAGTTACTGTCGCCATGAACGAAGAATTTTGTCGCTGCTTGCCAGGCTTTCACGCGTTTTCAGGTTAGCATTTCAATGCAGGTATTTTGATGGGGGTGGTCAGAGAAATGGCTCCTTCTAATCATTGCATCATTTTCTTATTTTTTGCGTATATTTTTACTGATATTATACTTCTACCAAGTTCTAAAATATGAGGGTAACTAATACTAAAGTATTGACGTTTGCTTTACATTTAGGAAGTGACTGCACGAGCTCGTTTTACGGAAAAGGGAAGGTCAAAGCATGGAAAACGCTAATTGCTCATCCTTGCTTTGTTGAGACATTTTCTCTCCTTGGTTATAACTTTCCTCCTGCCAACGTCCTTGTACGCGATCTGAACAAGTTCACTTGTCTACTGTATGGCGACAATACATCAAAGAATGCCGATGAATGCCGATACACAATGTTTAAAGGTGGAAAATGTTCGGATGAAGTATTGCCACCAACATGTGACAGCCTTCTTAGACACATTGAAAGAGTAAATTACCAGGCGGGTGTGTGGTGTCAGTCTCTTTTACCCCAAATGACTCTTCCTTCACCAATTGGTAACGGTTGGCAGTTTTCAAACGGAGACATTGATATCGTATGGATGACGCGTCCTCCAGCTCCAGACTCCCTTCTTGATTTCGTAGACTGTCATTGTAAGACTGGGTGTTCAAGCATGCGATGTTCATGTAGAAAAGCTAACCTAGTCTGCACAGACTTATGTTCATGTGTTAACTGCGAAAATACATCAGGCGAATGCGACGAAGACAATTCAATAGATGATTCAGACAGCGAAAGTACTGATGGGGATTTAGACGACATTGACCAATTTTAAATGTGGAATATTATACTTATCAAATAGTCTTTAATGCGATGTATGAAATTTTATATTTTTTACTGAAAATTGTGATATTTCCCACAAAAAACATTGATAAAAGTTACCAAATATACATAAGTTGTTGACGTCCGAGCAAAAATAAGCCTGATAAGAATCTGGAACTAGTAATATCACAGTAAATTAAATGAAGTATTTGGGAAACAAAGGAGGCGATCAAGTTTCAAAGCAGCAAAAATTGTTGATGTTTGATGGCAAAATGCTCACAAACTGCAGGTTTATACGCGTGACAACAAGTAAATTCTTATTCAGCAAATGAAAATTTATAGATTTATTTAAATTAAACTTAGTGCCCGACCGATGGCAACGGAATTGTTTTTCTAAGCGACTTTCGGTGGCAAAGAATACGGCCTAATGTATTCAGGATATGAACTTTCAACCTATATTTATTACGCTACGTGTAAATTCAATATGTGATTTAAATAAAGTCATAACAAAGCAACGTCACCATGAAAATGTGAAGATGTGAAACAAGAGTTTACGCTGACAACATGTATGGAAATATTTATCGAATTACGTGCAAGGTTCACACTGTCAACTTAAATAAAATCACATTTGGTTTATTTATCAGCTACATTTGGCCGGTATTTATAGTATTTCCCAATATTTGGTGAATATTTTTGTTTTATTTAGTAAATTACATAAAAGCACAAGTACAAATTAAGAAAATAAGAAACAATTTCTCTCACCTACGTCCGATCCTTTTTGTCTGTACGTTTAGGAATAGGTGGGAGTTGAAATTCTTTACCAAACACAGGCTTCTTTCAAATCTCACTATGTAGCGGAAATGATAAAAGCAAAGAAAACAGGATCTTGTTATACTCTATCATCAGAAAATTCCATGCGTGTTGGCAACGCCAAGGCCAAAAACCAACAACATAGTTGCTATCACGTTTTCTCGCGCGTGCGTCACGAAATAATGAAATGCGTGATTATGTATCTACTTCGTCCACAAATGATTGTATTGCATATGATAATTTCAAAACTAATGTGTGGATTTTCAAAATTTTAACAATACATGTAGATATACAAATTGTTCATCATGTGAACATATCGTGATTCATTATAATTAAATCATAATATTATGTAAAATTACATATTGTATACTGTCAAATTCTTTTGTAATTATTTACATTAGGTATTGTTATGAATATTTTCAGCTCCATATTAATCCTTATTAATGTCACATTATAGGACAAAACAGTAAGGCCACTTCGCTGTCTAACTGGCTGCTGTATATTTGGTTTACAGGCTGCCGTTTGCCATTTCGTCAATCCTATTGGTCACACAATGCCAATTACTGGCTGCCAATATGATAATCACATGCGTAATAAGATATACGTGGCACGTAAAAATTAAATGGAGTGACCCTACTGTATGTTCTCTATACTGTGATACTGTCGATGAATGTTCGTTCATGCTACTTTCCCTCAAGAAATCTTTTTTTGTTACACGCTCTTTTAATCTGTAGGTTAAAGTGTAGGGTTTGATGGCGTTAAGGTTTTGTGCTAGAGTCTTTTTTGTATATTTCTTATCGGCAAACGTAAAGCAATAAAGTCAGCATGAACGTTTTTCTCTCAGCAGCTGTTCTAATTATCAAACATGTTGTATAGAAACTTATTGTGGTCAAAGTCAATGAAGCTTTGAGTATATTCATAGTTTATATAGACAGTAAATATTCAATTTATTTTATGATATATGCAGCCTGAAAAACTAATATTTAAAGCTGAAAATTCTGTAACGTTGACCACCTTACTTTCTTTATTTTTTGTGCATATATACTTGCTTTTTCCGTTATCTACTGCATCTGCTGTAAGATTCCATTCAATGCATAGATTTCTCAAGGTTCAACGTCCTAGCATAGAAAGACTTCTAACAGAAGGCCCACTTGGCTAAAGTCGTGGCGTATTTTTTTCACCACGAATGCGTGACTTCCCAGCAAGATACTTTCACAAAACCCCCAGTTAGCACACGACGTTTTTTTAACGTTGGCTGAAGGTTGTATTTAAGTTGCGTTATGACATAACGTTAATACAACGTTCTTACCACGTTGTTTTTCTTATTCAAATTTTAACCACGTTGTGTCAACGTTGGTTAAACGTTAAAATTAACATTCGGTAAGGAAGTTATGTTGTAACGTTGAAACAACGTTGTCTAAGATGAACGTTGGTATAAGGTGATTTTTTGGTCGCGTGCCCGTCGTTATTGTCTGACGTTGTTTCAACTTCGGTTAAATGTTAAGATGGACGTTAGATAAAGGTGATTTTTTGGTCGCAGCTTCGTTAATGTCTAACGTGATATGAACGTTGGTTAAACGTTACGAATAACGTCAATTCATGTTATTTCATGTTTACGTAGTGCGTTGCATTTAACTTTGTACCAATGTCGAATACAAAAACTACGTCGGTCGTTTTTTCTGAACATTGATATCAATATGCGTTCGCTGTATCAGCGTTAATAAAAAATAAACTTTAATATATAGTTTGATAACGTTATAACGCGGATGCGACCCATACGACGCAGTTGGGGAAATATGCAATATAAGAAACATAAATCGCTGTAGACGTTAAGAAAATTTGCGGGCTCAGAATACTATTTTGCAAGTGTCTTCTGCGTACTTCATTACAAGTGGCAAGTCGACTTTAGCTATAAAATTTTTCACCCAAGAAAGAATATATAATTGATACAACACATTCAAGAACGAGCTGATCAACGTTTTCATCGTAAGTACATGCTGTTTTGATTTTATTTGAATAAACACAGAACTTGGGCAAGGAATAATTCAACATGTATATTCAATGGTTGACGGTTGACCCGTTTCATTTCATATTCTTAGCGCTACTTTAGCAAGAAACGGTGTTTTGGAACAAGTGCTGCTATATTGTTACGTGATCAAAGTAAGGTGAAATTTTATTTGTTTACATATTGTAATTATTGTTGAACAAAGACAATGAGGAACAATGAACGTCTTATAATGCCTTTGTCGATATACCGTTACCGTTGCTTAAATAAAGCATACAATTTATTGTTTTTAGCCACAAATAATACAAGCAACATCTTATTTAAGTAATTTGGTGTGTTGATAAGCACAAAAAAGCTTTAAAATTTAAATGATACAAATCGACAAAGGATGGTTGAAATGTTTATAATGGATTGATGATAAATGCGTAAAACAACGAATTTGTATGCTACTTTGCTCATGTAGCTTTCTAGGCTCTTTAAATGATTTTGTCATAGGTAATTTGTTCTCATTATTAAGAAAGGCCAATTTTTTTTATCTTTAGTGATAAGGCCAATTATTGATCGACAAAATTCAGAAAAGCCTGTGGGTTATTGTCTCATTGCTGTGCACATTTATTGAATATATTTTCATATTTCATACACCTTACTATAGCCTTAATTTTCAATTGTTTCGACAAAAACTTTGTTAATTTTTTTGTTTTTTTTATAAAATTAAACTCAAACCTTTTTATGATATATACGTCTGTGTTGATGATTAATATTTTTGAACATGGGGTTAGTGATTATGTGATTTAAAAAATGTTTTTGATTAAGAATCACCCAGCCTTAAACCTTAAAATAGTTGTACTTTCTATTGCAAATCACAGCAGTTTTTGAACAGTGATATAATTTTACAGAGGTAATTGAATGTTTATTCATAACAATGCATGGTTGCTTTATAATACAAGTAAGTATTGTTGGTCCAATTATTGCATTCAAGACAATATGTAGTTTACAACCCACTTTTTCATCTCTTAGATTGGTTTATTAACTTCGCCCATTTCTTTAGTAAGCTTGCAATGTCAGTTAAATTATTTTTGCGTAGTTGCTTCAGATATTTTCCATTTGCTGTTGTTAGCAAGTAAACTATAATGTTATACTTAAAATTTTAGGATTATGTATAAATTAGGTATGATACATGCATGTAAAGAAGAGAATAAGTTACAAATGGTTGAGGAGATATATAAGTTACCATGACCTGCGAGTGAGACTCATCATTTTTTGATTAAAACATTTTGCTAAGTGTTGTGATCACCAGCACTTAGGAGGAATGGGTTGTAACATTAGGATATGTTTAAATCAATCAACAATAGAGTGAAAGTTACATTTTATTATTTATTTAAGTTCATATCATAATGAAATGTAACCGGGGGCAGTACAGAAAAAACTGGACTGCTGCTAATAAAGCTTTAAGATGCAATGCCTAATGGTGATAGCTGTGAAAGAATGTTTTTTATGCAGTGCGGTGTTTGAAATTAAATGAGCTATGATTTCGAACTCTGCCAATCTGAAATTGTATTTTTATTTGCTTTAGATGTCTACTGATACATATGCAGTTTGTAGAATTCCTTGATGAGAAGTCAGTTGAAGTTGTTCCTAGAAGTTGGATTGAAGCATGTGAAGGTGTAGGGTTTGCTTTGCGTTATTGTTTTTATACAATATTGTTCAATCATTCATTTTTATCTATGTGCTCGTTACTTAAAGTATGTGCTATGTATATCTACTTTGGAGGATTGATATAAGTCACAATCATATGCTATAATATGAAAAGGACAATGGACTCCCATAGAATGTAATATGGCATATCTTAAAGATCTTCCTGAGCTTATACGTACAGGTCAATGCAACTATTTTTCATTTAATAACACTTTAGCTTTTGTGTTGCTATTGGCCGAGGACAAACGTCTCAGCTATTGTAATGAAGCTGGAATTGCCATACAAAAATGGTTGGAAAAAACATAAAGTCAGAATATTCACATTTGCAGGTTAATATGATGTCTTGTGATTATAGTATGAATTTTTCATTTAATTTACATTTATTTTGGATTTCTATTTATTTCCATTTTGATTGTAAATAATCATTGCCATGTCTGGTGTAGGAATTTTTTATTTTCAGAATTCGTTATAAACTTGCTGCCAGCTGTTTAACATTTTCTCCACTGAAGCCTCAAAAGTGCTATAAACGATTTAATGCTCTGTTTTCTAAATTTAAACCTTTCTTTTACTTAGACAACTTTAAAAGTGCCCAAAAGTTTGCTAGAAGAGCCATTGCCACTTCAAACATTGAATGAGATGATGAGTCAATCAACGACAAGCCACGAAAACGTTCTCGTCTCAAAAGGAGTATGGAAGAATTTCCAGATTACAGTGACATAGAAAGTAGGTTATATAGTATTCTAGATATTTCTCTCCGATCACAACAACTTACGTACGCAGTAACACAGAAAAGTGTTTTATTTCTACTGTTATAACTACCTATGTGCGTATATGGCTGTAGTCAATGAAGGGTCGTGTGTGCGAAACACAATAAGTTCTTTGATTTTGGCTATGTCTTCTTCCTTAAGTTGGGAAAAGATAGGATTAAGACTGAATGTATTGCCGTAGCTACTTAAATATTATATCTTTGGCAAGCATTAAATTAACCATATTTTAGTATTTTTAGTATAGCTTGAGTACTCAATAAACATTGTTATGCGATGATCCGGTATTTTTTCTCAACAGACGATGATGACAGTGATGAACCCGTAATTCAACACATAGCCCCTCAGTTACCTCCTGCTCCACGTTACGCATCTTTTAGTATGAACAATAAGCATTTATTGGAATCTTCTGAAAGTAATATGATAACAGCCGTCATTGAAATCTTATCAACAAATTCTAGAAGTAAGTACTGTAGTTTCAATGCAATAGGCCATTGCTTTATTCAAAGGAGTGCAGTTTTTCACATATTGCTACGTTGCATTTAAATGTAATCATTGATTTTGCTTTTTAGATTTGCCGGTGTACAGCGACTTGATCTCCCTTGCAGAAAAAGGTATAAGCGCAATTATAATCATTGTACAAGTAGACAATTTTTTGACAGAAACATGCATGTATAGAATTTCTCTTTTCATCTTAATATAATGTTGATCTAGATTTATATGACGGTGAACTAGCACCAGAAATCCTAAACACAAAGGATCATGCAATAACTTCTCCATCTACTAGTAAGACACCATCTCAGCGTAGTGGTAAGTTTTCTGTCATCAGAACTGACTAATCAGCAACTTTCATATAATATGTCGACTAAAATGTTGAAATAATTTTGATTGATTTTTTTTAAATAACTTTTACATTCGTATTGTACATTTACTGTTTTTCTACGCCCATCGTTGCATTATAGGGCTTATGTATGTTCTACAGGTGCTGTAGGCGTTGGTCCTTTAAAATGTTGTTGTAATTAGTTAAAAAAAATGTTAGTTATAGTTAAAATTGCAGTTTTGTTCACACCACGATTTTATCAAAATACATTCGTTCAAATCTAATTCTTTGCGTTTGCTATCAAACTACTAAATGAAACTTTCTCGAGGTTTTTTATTTTAGTCACCTTTCTGTTTCTGACTTTTGAAACTTGTAGTGCCTTAATTTAAATGACGTTCGTGCGTTCAATAAAGATATATGTTAAACCCAGTACATGTCTTCTCTGTAGTTACAAGCAACGTCTCTTCACAAGGAATTCTTACAACTGGCACAACAAGAGAAAGACATTCTCAACAAAACAGTGGTGTCTTAGGCAGGCTTTTCTTACAATTCATTATTGCATGTTATGTTGTTACGTTTTCATTTACGTTCATTTTGTGTCGTTTGAAATGTTTTTTTCACAACTGACTGCAACACGTGATTGTTTTGCAGATGCGCATGACCTTTCATCGCACGAAACGCCTTCGACAAGTTTTAAGAACATAACACCTGCAGGAAGACGTTCTCAACAAAACATTAATGGCATCTCTTCTACAGTATATAGCTTTTGAATAGCGTTGCTATTATGTATGCGTATTCAATTAGCAATTTGATGCGAGATTTATTTGAATTTTCTTGTTAGCATGTTGTAAGGTTTTATATTTTTAAGATATTACGTAGGTTATACATTAGTTATTCTATTATTTTCTTATATATCTTGTAGGCTTCCAAATATCAGTTCTCACCAAACTGGAAACATTAATTGATAAGCAAGAAGAATATTGTGTCAATATTGCGTGCCTGTTAAGCGCTACTAAAGGTGTAGACGAGCACGAAATTTTGGAAGATGTTGTACCTAATCCCTTTGATTCGGTTGAAGAACTTGAGGACCTATCCTCTAGTCTTAATGAAGAAAAGTCCAGGAGAAAGTTGGTAAGTTTTGGAAAGTTAACCCATACGTATTTAGTAATATTTATTGGCACTGCCTATTTTTTATGCATGACTCTTTCAAGTGTTACGTAAAAAAATGTGATAATGGAAGGCATAGCCCTTCCCCTTTATCGGTTTGGAAAGGTGAAAACGATAGTTTCATTTGCAATTACGTAACATAATTTTGACTTTTTTTCTACCATTTGTGTTTGAAACTTGAAGACATGCACGCTTGCCAAAGTCTGAAACGTAATTTTAATGACGATTTTCGTGACGTTAGGGGGTCAGATTATCTGATTAAACTATATGAATCTAGCATCGTGTTTTTCGTGAGAGCTTTGTCGTGTTCTGATTGATTTAAATACGTTACGATACTTCAAACGGCTCTTAAGTGTGTCGTTTTATTTGTGCTGAAAAATTTTAACAAAGAAACTGGTCTTTCTAAAATCTCTCATCATTCACTTTGGATGGTTTTGTTTTGCAGTTCGAGATCAAAATGGTTATTTATATATGTCTAAATTGAACTTTTCCATATAATTTATCTTTTACTCTCTTTACTAGCTGCAGTTTTGGTAGCACTGTGCGCAAACACCTGTGCAAACAGTGTTAGAAGAATTATGAAGCTGGGAACAAATAATCTATGGTCCCAATATAGTTTAAAAGGCAGAAAGTCAAAGCGACCATTTCAGCACCTTGCCCTCTGCAAAGTTATAACAAGTAAGCACAATTAGACAATAATGATTGCTGCCGCAGTACCATGTTTTGTCTTTTTTTCTTGTTCATGAATTGGAAAAACAGCCATTTATGTTGCTCCTTGTCATAAGAAATATTGTTGCAAGTTTTAAAAGCTAATACATTAAACTGTTTTGCATATGTCACTATAATCAATTGTTGTTTATCATTCAGTTTACGAAAATGATTTAGTGTTTTATCTATGCAATTTATTGAAAGTATGTCTTTTCTGTTTCGTTTTACTTGTTAGAAGCCAGCCTCAGAGCTCATAAAGGATGCAGCGAAGGCCAACGTTGAAGAGCAAATTGCCGAATTTTTAAAATATGCTCCAGGCAAGCAAGGTGGTTCCAGATTTAAGGTAACATGTCATTATCATCATAGATTGCTGGGTAAAGTATATAGATGCCAATTTTTCTTTGTTTGATTTTCTCAACTTAGACAGGGAGAACTCAACTTATTTTACTCTGTAATTTCATAGTTAGCATATTTGTATTTTCTTGTCTGTGTAAGTTGAGAAAAATACACAATAATATTATTGGCATGTTCACTTAAAGAAAGTGAGCATGTGTCTTTCATTGTCCTTTAATTATAAGTAAAGCAAAATGGAATGTTTGTATTAAAAGAATAATTGTTTTATTATTTATATAAAAAAGCAAGTGTTAGTTAAATGTGAAAAAGGTGCCGTAACGATTAAAATTTTCTTCACTTGTTTTGTTTCTCGTGCGTATGAGATGACGTTGTAGCGCAAGATAATCTCTTATATCTGACGTACGTACGTAGTGGCATTCATATAAGTGGATTTATTCGATTGCTTTTAAGTGAATAAAACTAAAAATACTTTGATTCATATGTTTATATAAATTAAATTAAGAAGATATACATACAGCAGACGATTCAGTTGTCTATTTAAATAGCATCTTTTACAGACAAATATGTCAATGTTGTTGTAGGTGGTAAGACATATAAAAATGATATATAGACTACCATTTTCTAATAATCATATATGTTATTTTCTTGCAGGTCAGAAAAGGCAACTTATTGGAATCGGCTTAATTAGCATTTTTGTTAATATCTATATTAAAACACGCACAGCAAAATAGATGGGTTAAAAGTTGATTATATGGAAATTAAACTTTAGTTCGTATCATTGGAAAGGCTGTTTTACGATTTCACAAATAATGTATCATTTATTGTATGTTAAATGAACGTCGGATAAACGTTGTATGAACGTTGTATAAACGTCGGGTTTAGGTTGAAAATACGTTACATCCCAATGTTCATCCTATCGTCGCCACCACGCTCATATGAGTTCACGAAAAAACGTTCACTTAACGTTTGTCCCCGACGTTGAGTGAACGTTCGACGAACGTTGGTACAACGTTGAGACAACGTGATTTTGCTAGCTGGGTCAATATTGAATAGTATTAAACAAGAATGCTATTTTACTAATAATTCACGTTTAAAGCAAAAGTTTGCCGAAATTTTTACAAAGCGTTATCATCTTGTGAAGAAGATAAGGTTTAAAGTTTTTGTAGTGAAAAACGTTATATTTGTAAAAACATCTATATTTTCTATTGCGATCTAGCGGAAGTATCTTGCTGGAAGGCGTGTCTGCTTAGAATTTGCTTCAGAAAGGTGGGAAACACAAACATCAAAGTTTCCGACACGATTGGGCCTTCTGTTTAAGATATCTTTCTGTGATTTTAGTCACGCAACTAATCATCCCCTCTCGCTTAGATTCAAGGTCTGCAGCAGGCTATTCAAACACTATGATGCTATAGAACGTACAACATAATATGAATATTTGGACAAGTATACGGTTGTTTCATTCTGCACAGCACATTCATATACAATTGGTTGTAACGGTAACAAAATAAAGTTTGTAAAGAAATCCGAATTCAATAGTCAGAATGTCACTTTGAATCTTTTTCTTAAATTTTCGTTTGCATCGTAAACACGACAATAGTCTGCAATATTTTAAGGTTACTACATAAGGTGAGCGTTTTTTTATTTCATTGTCATTCTTTCGTTGTTATTTGCATTCACTCAACGTCATTAGAAAATCACTGATTAAACGTTATGCAAATTTATGTAAAAAAACTCTCCATGCAATTTCGACGCAAATTACCTACACAGTTACTTAATTATTTGACTGACTACGTTTCGTGCAACGCAGTTGAATTTAAGAGTTATGTACGTACAGTTAAAAAAGTAAACTACGATAGTGCTAACCGTGATTAAATATCTGTTTTTAATACAGTCAGTTAACATCGAAAAATTTACATTGAAAGACCAAACATGCAGGCCAGCCAGCCTCGTACGCAGGCGCTTCACATGGCGTGCGTGGGCATCGCGCATTTGCATGGCTGTAACAAGCAGATTACGTGTGGAAGCTCCCACGCGATTCTCCCATTTTTTGTTCGCGCGTGTCGTCCCGCGCAAGCACGCACGCCGTGTTACATTCAATCATTCAATTTATAAAATATGAAATACCTCAAAGCAAAACAAGCCAAGCGCCTGGGTACGATGCTGCAGGCCAGCTACAAAGTGGAGTGTGAATAAACATGATAAAATATTGTCAGATGATAAAAGTAACAAAAATAGTACTGTATTGAATCATTATTGAAAAAGATTGAATGTTTTTAATTTTGAGGCTGAAGTCAACTTTGTCATTCACTGAGTTTTTCAATAATCACTGAATTTTGCAGTGGCAATGATGACTGTCACTGAATGATGTGATAGTAGACCAACAAATACTTTTCGTGAACAAATTCAATTTTACTCATAAAGTTTGAAAATAAACGATTTTAAATTAAGTGGTTGGGAATTTGTTGCATATGATTAGAGACTTGGGTTAGTAAAACTTTAATATTTCCAAATTTACCGTCATCTCTGTAAATTGTAGCCATTTTGGTGGCTTTGTATTTCTTGTATTCTTGGATTTCTTATAAATCTTAGCAGGCGTCAGACCAGGTATTAGAAAGAAACTTTACAGCACATTTTTCCCTATAAATTTTTCTTCAATGAGTTTCAGTACATTAGCTTGTACTGTTGCACATTCATTGCACCAGTGTCACACCACTAACTTGAGCCTCGTCCACAGTAATAACTTTTTTTTAATTTTTATGTGATTAGAACAAAATATATTTTAAAGGACACATATTGTTAAAGATAACAATGTAATAACAAAATAACGTTTTGGCAATGCTTTCCTTTATTTGTAGGGCTAGGTAAAACCTGATTACAAGCTTTATGGGGACTAAAGATTATTCAAGTCCCCCATCCCTTTCCTACGCCTATGAATGCAATAATAACCAGTTTATATGATTTTAATTCAAACAAATGTACTCAATGAGTTATAAATAAAATATAATAGAGTTCTTGCATGACGTCTTTATAACGCAAAATTTATGTACGCCATTATTAGCGAATCCTTTGCCTTGTAATGTATCAATCTGAAAAAATATATTTATGTTTATATTATTTGCACTTTGTTTGATTTTACCACAAAATTTAGAGTGATTTAAGGATAAAGTAAACAGATGAAATCATGATTACAATCTTAAAGTATTCTGGTTGAAGTACTGAAAAACTATTTAAATGTGCTAAATTATAATCTTGTAGCTCTTTGTTAAGATTAAGCACATGTTGATTTAGGTGGAAATAAGAATTCCAGAAATATAGGTTAAACGCTGTAAATCTTGGGTGATGAGTCTGTCCATTCAGACTAATAAATATTTAACGCGAGTGACAACAAGCAAATTGGCACGTGACCAAGTAGGCGAAATTTGTTTGTACATAAAGTGGAACGTTTGAATTTTAAAAACTGTACTGATAATTTTTGTAAAAGGTCGAAGTTTGGTCTGAAAACAGAACAAAGAAAATTGTATGATTTTAGTAAAGACTTCGTTTTATGATAACTAAAACAATACAAATCTTCCTTATATAATTGTATGCAGATGCTGTATGGTCGCACAAAAATTGCCTTTGTCTTCGTTTACAAACGTCCTATCAATAAAATTTATGTGCGGTTAAAAATGTTATATTTTATTACGTTATTCCTTTATTTCAATAAAGTAATGGGGTTATTACTTTATTTCAATTTCTGAAGTTTATTGCAAGATATTTCAGAATAAAAAACACTTCAGGAACACTTTTTGCGCACGCAAAATATCTCAACTGTTATAATAGAAAATTTGAGAAACAATTTTACTAACCTATGCCGTATGTCTCTGCCTCATAATACCTTTAAAAAAAAACAAGCTTCTTCAATGACAAGGCGTCAAAGGCTGAAAAGTCTCAAGAAGTTTGAGTGGTCGATATCAATCATTTATTACTTAAATTTTGTGATCCAATTGTTTCATTAATTTGAAAAAAATTGATTGTGGCGTCCAACCACAATTTGAAAGAGATGTGTAGTCTTGGTAGTTTTTTTAATTCAATTAGATTTTTAAAAGGAAATAATAAAAAGATGAAAATATAATTAAATGTAGAGAGTAGTGTAGTAGCTAAATTTTCAACTTGACAGTTTTCGTGAGCATGTGTAAGTGTGTATAAGACACTTGCGAGTTGATATGGCATGTGATCATAAGTAATGTGAAGGAAACATGAGACCTGTACTCAATAATTATAAAATTTTATTTACAACTTTATTTATGAACATCATTAATTGTTTGTTAACTTCCGCGGTTTGCAGCAACTATCGTAGTTTTAAAAACTCATAGAAATTTACTATTTTTCAACACTACAAATACTTGAGGTTTGCAATGAAATACAATGTTACATACACTTCATAATGCTTTAATTCAGTTAATTATTTATATAGTATATTGAAATGAGTTTTTTATGACAATGTTTAATGGCAAAAACGGAACACAAAGGTCAATGCATATAATTTTTTTACTCTCTTTTCAGGGATTACTATGTTACCGATTGTCGCTTGCCAATCTTCAGGAAAAATAAAACCTGATGTCACATTGACATAACCAGCAGGATTATTTAGTTTTGCCAAAAAACAAGCTTATTTAAACATCCTGCTAACCATAAGATTTCCAAAGTGAACAGATTTTAGAATCAACATTGCAAAAATAAACTTGCATGCTAGCCACGTCTCTGAGGCAAACACGTTCGGTATGATATTGAATTAATTATGATTGAAAACATCTATTTATTTAACATGTACCTATATGTCCTGGTAGACATTTACATCTGCAAAAAATCTTTAAAAGAAAGTTCAGAAACATTAACAGGATTTTTAAACTAGTTTTCATACTTGTAGAGCACTAATTCTATAAGGAAAGTATGCTGGCCAAAAGATAGGAAATTGATACAAACAAACAAAAACAAAGAACACATTTCCGTCGCAGTTACAATGTATCAAATAATTTGATTAAAATGTTCTTTAGGTAGAACTATGATTCAGTATTGAAAGCATGCTAGCAAAAGATCATAAATTGATATGAAAAAAGGTGCTTTTACACGCAAAAAAATCAAGACAATTCAATTAATTTTATCAAAATATGATTACTGGCTGTTTACACTGTAAGGTCAAATATATATTCTTACAGCATGTTTCAAGTAATTAGCGAATTAATTTATATAATAAATGGTTAAAACTGATATCTAATGTGAGTATGTTTACAAATCTTACTTTGCAAAGCTGCATTAAGAGATTTTTTACCTTTATCACCTATCTTGTTAGAATAAAGATCTAATTCAGTAAGCTTACAATTCTCACTTTTCAAAGCTTCACTAAGAGATTTTGCACCTCCATCACCAATCTTGTTTGAAGAAAGACCCAATTCAGTAAGTTTACAATTCTCACTTTTCAAAGCTTCACTAAGAGATTTTGCACCTCCATCACCTATCTTGTTATAAGAAAGACCCAATTCAGTAAGTTTACAATTCTCACTTTTCAAAGCTTCACTAAGAGATTTTGCACCTCCATCACCTATCTTGTTAGTATTAAGACTTAATTCAATAAGTTTACAATTCTCACTTTTCAAAGCTTCACTAAGAGATTTTGCACCTTCATCACCAATATTGTTAAAAAAAAGATACAATTTAGTAAGTTTACAATTCTCACTTTTCAAAGCTTCACTAAGAGATTTTGCACCTTCATCACCAATATTGTTAAAATAAAGATACAATTTAGTAAGCTTACAATTCTCACTTTTCAAAGCTTCACTAAGAGATTTTGCACCTTCATCACCAATTTTGTTAATATAAAGAGACAATTTACTAAGTATACAATTCTCACTTTTCAACGCTTCACTGAGAGATTTTGCACCTCCATCACCTATCTTGTTATTAGAAAGACCCAATTCAGTAAGTTTACAATTCTTACTTTTCAAAGCTTCACTAAGAGATTTTGCACCTTCATCACCTATACTGTTATGAGAAAGATCCAATTCAGTAAGCTTACAATTCTCACTTTTCAAAGCTTTACTAAGAGATTTTGCACCTCCATAACCTATCTTGTTTTCATAAAGAGACAATTTAGTAAGCTTACAATTCTCACTTTTTAAAGCTTCACTAAGAGATTTTGCACCTCCATCACCTATCTTGTTAGTATCAAGATCCAATTCAGTAAGTTTACAATTCTCACTTTTCAAAGCTTCACTAAGAGATTTTCCACCTTCATCACCTATACTGTTATGAGAAAGATCCAATTCAGTAAGCTTACAATTCTCACTTTTCAAAGCTTCACTAAGAGATTTTGCACCTCCATCACCTATCTTGTTATAAGAAAGACCCAATTCAGTAAGTTTACAATTCTCACTTTTCAAAGCTTCACTAAGAGATTTTGCACCTCCATCACCTATCTTGTTAGAAGAAAGACCCAATTCAGTAAGTTTACAATTGTCACTTTTCAAAGCTTCACTAAGGGATTTTGCACCTTCATCACCTATTTCGTTATAAGAAAGACCTAATTCAGTAAGTTTACAATTCTCACTTTTCAAAGCTTCGCTAAGAGATTTTGCACCTTCATCACCTAAATAGTTACAATCAAGAGACAATCTGGTAAGCTTGCAATTCTCACTTTTCAAAGCTTTACTAATAGCTTTTGTACATTCATCACCTATCTTGTTATAAGAAAGACACAATTCAGTAAGTTTACAATTCTCGCTTTTCAAAGCTTCGCTAAGAGATTTTGCACCTTCATCACCTAAATAGTTACAATCAAGAGACAATCTGGTAAGCTTGCAATTCTCACTTTTCAAAGCTTTACTAATAGCTTTTGTACATTCATCACCTATCTTGTTATAAGAAAGACCCAATTCAGTAAGTTTACAATTCTCACTTTTCAAAGCTTCACTTAGATATTTTGCACCTCCATCACCTATCTTGTTAGAAGAAAGACCCAATTCAGTAAGTTTACAATTCTCACTTTTCAAAGCTTCACTAAGAGATTTTGCACCTTCATCACCTATCTTGTTATGAGAAAGACCCAATTCTGTAAGTTTACATTTCTCACTTTTCAAAGCTTCACTGAGAGATTTTGCACCTCCATCACCTATCTTGTTATAAGAAAGATCCAATTCAGTAAGTTTACAATTCTCACTTTTCAAAGCTTCACTAAGAGATTTTGCACCTTCTTCACCTATATTGTTATCAGAAAGACCCAATTCAGTAAGTTTACAATTCTCACTTTTCAAAGCTTCACTAAGAGATTTCGCACCTTCATCATCTATACTGTTATATTCAAGAGATAATTCGGTAAGTTTACAATTCTCACTTTTCAAAGCTTCACTAAGGTACTTTGCACCTTCAGCTGTTATTTTAGTATGAATAATATCCAATTTGATCAGTTTACAATACTCACTTTTTAAAGCTTTGCTAAAGCATTTAGCCTCTTCATCACTTACAATAGTTTTAAATAAATAGAGTTCAGCGTATTTACAATTCTCACTTTTTAAAGTTTTGCTAAGACATTCTGTATTTTCACTGGTTAGGGTGTGAAAGTGAACGTCAAGCTTAGTAAGTTTACAATTTTGACTTTTTAAAGCTTTAGTAAAATATTTAGCACTTTTTTCACTTATATTGTTGCCACAAATCATCAATTTAGTCAGTTTACAGTTCTCATATTTCGTAGCTTGAATTAGCAAATTAGCACCTTGATCTTTAAGTTTATTAAAACGAATATCCAATTCACTTAGTTTACAATTTCCACTTTTTAAAGCGTCGCTAAGATACTTTGCACCTTCAGCTGCTATACTGTTATCTTCAAGAGACAATTCAGCAAGTTTGCAATTCTCAGTTTTCAAAGCTTCACTAAAATATTTTGCACCCTTATCATCTATCTTGTTACCATTGATAATTAATTTAGTAAGTTTACAATTCTTACAATTTAAAACTTCACTAAGAGATTTTGCACCTTCATCACCTATATTGTTATAATCAAGAGACAATTTAGTAAGTTTACAAGTCTCACTTTTTAAAGCTTCACTAAGATACTTAGCACCTCCAGCTGCTAGTTCGTTACGACTAAGAGACAATTCAGTAAGTCTACAATTCTCACTTGTCAGAGCTTCACTAAAATATTTTGCACATTTATCACCCATGTTGTTGCCATTGATAATTAATTTAGTAAGTTTAGAATTCTCACTTTTTAAAGCTTTACTAAGATATTTAGCACCTTCTTCACCTAGATTGTTTTTTCTAATTTCCAATTCACTAAGTTTACAATTTTCACTTTTTAAAGCTTCACTAAGATGTTTTGATATATTTTTAACAGAACAGGAGATGATTTTCAAAGAAAATACATTGCATGCTGTTGCATTTGTCAAATATTTTGACAATCTAATGACGCTATGATTATCAGGAAATTGGCATGAAAAAAACGCGAGTTTTCTTAATTGTCGGCATTCAGAGAGAAATTCCAAGAAGGCGTTTGAATCAAGAGGCGTGAAAGAAACGTTATTAATGGATATTTTTTCAAAGAAATTATTTGACTCGCAAACTGATCTCATCTCATCGTCGTCTTGTAATTCGTAAAAGCACTTCATTCCAAGAAAACCAAGTGCTTTATTACCCTCAGAGAAAAATAAATGTGACATCCAACTTTCTAACCTGTAATTATAAAAATATCGTATTGTGAAACTTTTAAGAGTTTGGCTTAATTCTTTTAAAAAAATAAAGCCCTTCAGAAAAGCATCTTGACATGAGAAGTTTTTGTAAAACAACTATGGTAACAATAGCTAGCTATAATCTTTTAGTCGCAAATTAAAATAAATCAGATAAAGCACACAACGTTTACCAAAGCTAAGTTCAAATTAATATTACATGAAAGTAAAAACTCCTTGCTGCTTCTCAGAACAACCAATTCAGTTGCGTTGGCAGCATGATAGTTGACTGGAAGAGGTTAGAGAGGTCAAAATTTATTTAGGCATGTTTTAAATAGTTAATTCGCCAAAAACTTTCATTAAAAAACAAATTATATCTGTATGTCATGTATGTACTAAAATGGGCCTCACAGCGCCACGGAGCAAGTTTATAAGAAGCAAAATATTTGTAATTTTACTTTAACAGTAGAACCTATATTAAGCGGCACCGTATTAAGCTGTCACCCTGTGTTAAGCGGTTATATGGCAAAGTTTCCTGGTGCAAATACTATTATAGTGACCTTTATTAAACGGTCACCTCTATTAAATGGACGCGGTCACCTTTTCCATTGTGCTAAGCTTAATTTTTTGTTATTTTGCACAAAATTAAACATATTGTTGTCTCATCTCACCAAATCCATACTTGGTATGATTCCAGGTGATCCACAAATTCACATCGGATACATTGGTTACAATGAAGTTGAATGTAGAGGAAGCAAAAATAGTTGGCTTAGAAATTCTTTTTGTCTTATGAAGAATTAGTACAAATCAATAAAAGAATTCTTTGAACAAATTGTAAAAAAATTTAAACTGCTCATGATCAAGCAACCTAGTCAGAGAAGCAAAGTCTGTCTTCAACATGTGACATTTCCAATTATGTTTAGTTCTTTGTACAAAATACTATTTTTTTAGAAACTTGATTTGTAAGTCTTTCCTTATTGTTTTTTATCAAGAGATAAAAGAAACAAATTCAAAGGCGTGATGGAAAATACAAAGATTTATCAAGTTGTTTATCATTTAATTCCCAATTGTTAGTTTGTACATATAAATAATTAGTATTGGTAGCTGTAAGTTTTTCAAGCAAACAGAAGAGTAGTAGTGCTTGAAGGGGTTAGCATTTTTGAAAAATTATATCTTGTTTTTGACATACATTACACAATTCCAAAAGACTGTAAGGAATACACAATAATATCTATAGAACTTGATAAATTTCTTCGCCTACACAGTCAATTAATTATTTGGCCTTCATGCAGTAATAGACAGTGTTTTTGTCAGAGAAACCAATGCACTTTAGTTTCCAAATTTGTAATTTCAATGGAAAATTAATGTAGCTCTGTTCAGTAATAGACCCAAGGTTCTGCCAAGCTGTTTAAAAAATAAAAATTTCCAACCAACATAGCATGGTGTTTTGAATTTTTTTCTTTTTTGTAGCTCTTCTAGTTCAACATACTTTCTTTATGAGTTTTCAGTAGATTTATCAGGTAATGACAATACACTTATGATACTTATCCATGGTAAATTTTCAGTTGACTTATGTCGTAGAACTGAAGCAAACATTTTCTCGCTTCCTTAGGAGCATTTTAACACAGATTTATCCATTTGAGCAAGAAAAATAGTTGCACCAAACTGTTTACAAACTGTCAAACACCCAGAAGCATGAAATAAAGTATAAGTTTGACGAGAGTGACAGGTCTACTAATGAATGCCGTTTGATTTTCACTTTTAAAAGGTTAAAATGTCATAAAATAACTTAAATGTTACAGCCAAAATATGCGTTTCCCTACTGTCGATTTTCTTTATTTTGATGTGTGTGTACTGTGTTTTTTACGCAATGCTGAAGCATTATTTTCACATGGTATGCTGTCGGTATCGTAATTGTTTTTTTTCTCACTTGTTTTCGTTCATATAAACAGTATTAGAAATCAGGAGGGAGTGAATATTGAAAAACATTTTTAAAGTGGAAGTTTTGATCAACAAAATCCGCCATTACCGCCATGATTTTGATTACGGGGTCCAGGCCCCTTTTCCCCTCCAGGTCTTATACAACTCAATGGTCGTCCCTTCAAATTTTGAGTAAGTTAAAGGCACGGGTAAGCTTTAACTCAGCCCATTGAAGTAAATATATCTTGAATGCTAACTCCATTGCGTTCTAAAATAACTGGAGCGGCTATCTCAAGATCGGCTTTAAATATTGTATGACGCCAACAAAATGGAGGATTTTGTCCTTTGCCGCTGAGATTTACCGAAATTGACAGCTTTTTTGAAAGTTTCGCAATTTTCCACTCCTAAATACACAAAATATATATTTGTATTTCGGATTCGGCAAGCAATTTTTTGATGAAAATCAAGATAAAAACCTTAAATTCATAATTTGTGTTTTAAGTTATAGCTTACAGCTGTTTGCTTGTTGCTGTTGTTCGTTTTAAAACGATTTCGAAAATAGTCCTACACTTTTGGAACGTAGTGTTTGGAGAATCCACTAGATTTGTTTTCTCATTAGCAGACTTTTTCACTTAATGCTTGAACATAAGGTTTATTTTATGGGCTTTATATGTATGTATCTTAGTGTGCATTATGCTGAAGTCTTTTATTTGCTGTTTAAATAACTTCCCAGTGCATCCAAATACTCTAATGAAAAGCAACAACTCAGTTATCTACAGTGGTCTACATCCGCAAACATGTAAAAACCATTTTCTGAAGTATACAGCAAACGATCAAAAGAAATCGATCACCAAATTATTTCTTCCAAACTCTACGCGACACTTTAGTTTAAAACTTATCGAGGAGGCGTTACTTTAATATTTGCTCATCTGGCTGGCAAAATTAATGTTAAGAATTTGGTGATGATGAATTAACTTAGAAAAATACATCTAGTCACATACAATATGAAGATACAATCAAACATTTTCAATGATACAAATGCTCATTGATCATAAATTTAATACCTCTCTAGAATAACGCTGATATCTTTTCCCTTCTCTTTCTTTTCATTTCCAACCAAACCAGCAGCAAATTCGATTACCAAATGCCATTTAGGATCTTGAACATGATCATCCAAAAACTTTCCAATGTTTTGCCAATCGTCAACAATATACCACGCTGCAAAAAACTCTTGAAGAGTCAAATGAAGAAAACAGTAAAGATGGCGTTCATCATCATAAATCTTATTGAAAATGCCACAGTTTTCCAGATTTTTAAAGTTACTGTTACTTTTTCTTTCAAAAATCAGGCGTCCGTCTTTAAGCCCTTCCATGGCAACATATTTTATTTCTTGTAGATCTTTATCAAGCTCGGATGGTAAAGGAATTCTCAAGTAATCCTTTTCTGTAGTCTTGCCCCTGAGAAGTGGATGGCTTTGCCATAGTAAAACTTTAATTGCTCTATCGTACAATTCAGTCATAGTCTTTGGACTGTAGTTTTCATCATCTGCAAAACATTCCTTTAAGGTCATACAAACAATTTTAGTGTTAATAGGGATATAACAAAAGCTGCGAAGTTCAAGAGAAATTTCAATCTTATTTAGAATACGGTCAGCAATATTTCTATCTTCATGACAAAACTTTTCCACGAATTCTTTTATCTCATTCTCAAAAGCCCATGATTTCAACTGTCCTCGCGAATTCCATATCTCTAAATTTACGTTCAGCTGTGGGTCGTGATGTAATAAGAACAGTAACATCAGGCAATAGTTTACCTTCAACTAGCATACTTAAGTGTGTAATGACGTGCCTTTTTTCATTAGGGGACCCTGAGTCGTCAGTTTGAATATCTTCATTATCTAAAGATAATTCATCAAGACCGTCGACCATAAGAACAGTTCTTTCAGGATTTAACATTATGAATTCGTAAATATCTGAAAACTGTTCAAATGAAAATCCAACGCAACTTCTTAACATTTTTTTAAAAGTAATGTACTTCTCTTTAATCGCACGACATTGCAATAAAATGACCAGCTTATTGCGCCAAAGTCGTCTTCATTTGTCTTCCATTCATGAATAAGTTTTTTCGTCAACATAGTTTTACCAATTCCTGGCCTTCCGATGACTAAAATGGAGCTAGGATATGACTTGCTTTTTGAAAGTGGCTTAAAAATGTCAGTTGCTCTTGTTAGTTTTTTCGCACTTTCATTAGGTTTGAAATGACAATGAAAGATCTCGTGCCTTTCATGCGTTTCTGGGTAAGCTTTACTTAATTGTCTTTCAGCTTGTATTATGACGTTAACATAAATATTTTCAAGATTTTGCACAGATATTTGTGCCTTGCCTACGTTATCGTGAATATTTAATAATTTGTTCGAGTGAGGTTTATTTTTTATTTCTTTTATCCAATTTCGAAACTCTGCACGTTTTGAAAAGAGGTATACCGTAAAAAACTCCTTATCTGATGTGAAAAAATTGTCACTACTGGCCTCATTTAATAGGTATATTAGTTGACATATCGTCATTATTATCGATAAAACATCAACAGCTACAACAAATTTAATCCACCATTCACTGTTACCATCGCGAATTTTACAATTAACGAATGTCTCCTTATACGGAGGAAGAATTATATTGTTTAACAAAGATTTTTTGTTTGTTGTCGGACGCCACGAACAAGAATAGTCAATGGGAAACATGCATGGAAACAGTACTGTAACAAATATAGACAAACCGATCACGCGTACAGTCAAATAAATGATGTAATAATTAAATGCCCAAGAACTAGTTGCAACCTTTCTGACTTCACTGCTTCTTTCTGACAAGAACTTATCAAAGTTTTTAAGTCGATTGGCCACAGACTGTCCACAGATCATACCCCAAAAAAAGAGAAAAAAGAAATTAAAGGACACCACATATATATTATCCCAAGTTTCATTTTGGTATTGTCTCAAACATCTTGATTCAATATTCTTTATAAGAGAAGTTTCTTGGAATTTTGAAATCATCTTGCCATTACAAGTAAAAGAAGTTTGACGATCAAATGTTTTCGAAATTCCAGGAGCGATGATTGTAAATGTGAAATAGATAGAAAGCAGTATTTTTCAAACCAGGAAAACAATTCAGTGGTATGGCTCTGAAAATAGCATCCATTTTCGTATCCTTTAAAAAATGGATGAAATAGACATGACTAATTTAGTTTCAACAATCCCCGTATAGACATAGACCACATTTGTAAGAGCATAAACTGCAGTATAAAATAATACACACCATTATTTGTGGCTTCAGTTAGCTCCACACAGTTTGGCTTCCAGATTGTATATATGAACAATTTCAGCCTATATTGTAGCAAAATGTATAATTTGGTTGCAATATTTAGTAGCTATGAAAAAATCCAGTACATGCAATAAAAATAGTAATAATACTATAATAATAATAATTTTAAATTTTAGCAGGTCAATCTTGTAAGTTTAAAAGTATAGCTGTTTTATTAGGACAACTGCATTCAAATTATTTCAGTAAAATAAAAAATTTCTAGAATTTATGCGATAGAGTTCCATAATAAAAACATTTAGGATGTCCAAAAGGTTAAAAGATAAAAATACGATAGTATACACTAAAAATTACAAATTAGTTTAGATTATAATATAAATCATACTTAAAATAATTTACGCTCGTCCTTGAATCTTAGTAAAGGTATGTAAAGGTATTTCTCTTCTATAGCTGTATGGAAGTTAATTACTTTAGCAGTTTCGCAATATAAATGTTCCGGAAGATATTAGGATTATTTTGAAGAATTTTAAAAATCAGTTCGATAAGGGTAACTAATGGGTTTTGTTTTCCATAGCACCACTTTTAATAAATTTTGTAAAAGCTTAAAAAAATCTTGAAAAGCTTAAGTCACATAACGTACATTGATTTAGTTATACGATATCCTAAAATACCTATGATCTGTTTCTAAAATACTTATTTTAGAATATTGTGAATTCAAGCAAATAATTAAAGAAAAACGAAGACAAATGTGGCGTCAGTTAGAAAAGATCTGTAGTTTGCAAACAAAACGTCACAGAACATCGAACATACAAAAGGTCACTCGTGTCGGACCCTTTGATGTTTTTGTCGTCGCGTATGTTGTGCCGCACATATCGGCAGCCATTATTTCAAAAAGATGTTTAAGACTTTTCACTTGTTCCAAACCACTTAAATGACACGACGTCATTTCTTATATTGAAATTATTTCCACTTCATTGTGAAAAAATGACGTCATGTACTTACAGTGGTTGAAGACAAATGAAAAACACAAAGTGTCTTGCTAGAATGATGTCGGCCGTAAGGACGCAGTGCTCACTTGAGTGGCCCTTCTATATAATTTTTATTCTGTGAAAACGTGTTTTACTGATGACGTCATAACTTATTAACATGGCCACTTGAAAAGTTGGCACATTAGGTCCGTATTCAGCAATAAAATTAACTAACTTTTAGCGAACTGAAAATATTTATTTATACATCAAACTAAATCTAGCATTGTGGATTTTTAGTTACAGAAAAAAAAGAGGCGATCAAACACTTTGAACAAGGCAGATGGTCAATCCGTTTGTACTCCTGATGATGACCTCGTGTACCTGTGGATTTACCCGAGAAACGTCACGATGATGCACACCATGTTCATGAGAGTGAAAAGCTCACAACTCAATTGTCTGAATGTTCATATGAGTCCATGCCTTCATTGTTTATTAACATCATTTACCTTGATGTTGCCACCTCGTTCTGACTGGCTGTTAATGAGGATGAAACAAGTACTGAATGCGTAATTACTGTGCATATGTGTAGATTATCACACAAATCTACAATTTGTACAGATTCAAAATACTCTTTATCTACAATAGGACCGATTTCAAGCAACTGAACTGCTAACTTTTCTCAATTAATTTCCTGAAGAATTCTAACAAAGGGTCTTTGTTGACAGCTTCGCTTGCCAAGGTGATGGGAGCATATTACAAATATCTACGCTATTCTTGAATGATTTGGAACAGACTCCCACTGCGTATAATTTTATAAATCTTAAATGCACTAATTGAAAATGACATGAAATGCGGTAGAGTTATTAAACTTTCATAACTTTTCGTCAAATTATAAATAGTGTACAGAATGCAAGAACTTCTGATATAAAATTTGTCTGCGGAATCATGTGTTTAATTAGCTACAATTATTCATCATCCACAAAAATGTATTAGTTTCAGCTATTAAAAGTGAACATACAACAAATATCTATGCAATTCTTGAATTACTATGAAAAGAATCTCACTGTTAAATGATTTGACATCCTTCATAAAATAGTTGCAAAGATTGTGATTTTAGATGTATTGAGGATATTAACTTTCACCTATATTTATTACGCTACGTGTAAATTCAATATGTGATTTAAATAATGTCATAACAAAGCGACGTCACCATGAAAATGTGAAGATGTGAAACAAGAGTTTACGCTGACAACATGTATGGAAATATCTTTTGAATTACGTGCAAGGTTCACACTCTCAACTTAAACAAAATCATATTTGGCTATTGTTTCTTGGTTTATTTATCAGCTACATTTGGCCGGTATTTATAGTATTTCCCAATATTTTGTGAATATTTTTGTTTTATTTAGTAAATTTCATAAAAGCACAAGTACAAATGAAGAAAATAAGAAACTATTTCTCTCACCTACGTCCGATCCTTTTTGTCTGTACGTTTAGGAATAGGTGGGACTTGAAATTCTTTACCAAACACAGGCTTCATTACATCTCACTATGTAACGGAAATGATAAAAAGCAAAGAAAACAGGGTCTTGTTATACTCTATCATCAGAAAATTCCACGCGTGTTGGCAACGCCAAGTCCAAAAACCAATAAAATACTTGCTATTACGTTTTCTCGCGCGTGCGTCACGAAATAATGAAATGCGTGATTATGTAACTACTGCGTCACACAAATTATTGTATTGCATATGATAATTTCAAAACTAATGTGTGGACTTTCAAAATTTCAACAATACATGTAGATATACAAATTATTCATCATGTGAACATATCGTGATTCATTATAATTAAATCATAATATTATGTAAAATTACATATTGTATATTGCCAAATTCCTTTGTAATTATTTACATAAGGTATTGTTATGAATATTTTCAGCTCCATATTAATCCTTATTAATGTCACATTATAGGACTAAACAGTAGGGCCACTTCGCTGTGCAACTGGCTGAAGTATATTTAATTCGTTTACAGGCTGCCGTTTGCCATTTCGTCAATCATATATGTCACACAATGCAATTTACTGGCTGCCAATATGGTAATCACATGCGTAGTAAGATATACGTGGCACGTAAAAATTAAATGGAGTGGTCCTACTGTATGTTCTCTATACTCTGATACTGTCGATGAATGTTCGTTCACGCCAATTTCCCTCAAGAAATCTTTTTTTGTCACACGCTCTTTTAATCTTTAGGTTAAAGTTTATGGTTTAATGACGTTAAGGTTTTGTGCTAGAGCCTTCTTTGTAAATTTCTTATCGGCAAACGTAAAGCAATAAAGTCAGCATGAACGTTTTTCTCTCAGCAGCCGTTCTAATTATCAAACATGTTGTATAGAAACTCATTGTGGTCAAAGTCAATGAAACTTTGAGTATATTCATAGTTTATATAGACAGTAAATATTCAATTTATTTTATAAATTATGCAGCATAAAAAACTAATGTTTAAAGCTGAAAATTCTGTAGGTTTACTTCCTTACTTTCTTTATTTGTTTCAGTAGTGGATCTAGGGGTAGTCACAGCGAGCAGCATCGAGCCAAAATAAATTAAAGCTGAGTAATTTTAAATTCAAAAACGCAGATTACGTCTTTTTCCAAAATTTTAAGTATAAAGAACTGTAATACTGGTTTCTATGAGTCATTATCATGGTAAAGGTTTTTTCAACAGTTAAAAATAATACGTGAAAACGTTTAATGCCCTTATCAACAGGCGAATTCCCTAGAAGTTTACCTCCCCCGCAAATACACTTTCAAAATAAATCAGTCGAGCACGTCTGCATTTACGAATATGGACCTTCCAAGGTTCAACGTTCTAGATACGCCACTGATCATAACATTTCGCTTGTTTTCAAGGTCTGCAGCAAGTTATTTAAACACTATGATGTTAAATCATAATATTATGTAAAATTACATATTGTGTACAGTCAAGTTCTTTGCAATTATTTACATAAGATATTGTTATGAATATTGTCAGCTCCATATTAATCGTTTATACTCTCACAGTATAGGAATATACAATAGGGCCACTTCTCTGTGCAACTGGCTGCTGTATATTTATTTAGTTTACTGGCTGCCGTTTGCCATATCGTCAATGGTATTGGTCAAACAATGCAATTTACTGTATGCCAATATGGTAATCACATGCGTAATAAGATATACGTGGCACGTAGAAATTAAATGGACTGGCCCTACTGTATGTTCTCTATACTGTGATACTGTCGATACTGTGATTGGTTTTATTAATGGCACAGTGAGGCCAGTTTGCCGTCCAGATGAAATGCAAAGTTTACTATACAGTGGTCACAAGAGGGTACATGCTATAAAGTTTCAATCGTTTACTCTTCCTAATGGAATGATAGCCAATTTGTTTCGACCAGTTGGTAAACACATCATTTGACTAATATCCTTATGTTTACTTTGACTTTCATTTAATTTTTTTGTTTTATAGAAGGAAAAAGGCACAATTCTGCTATGTTAGCCTCATCAGGACTACTGCAGGATCTACAATTATATGCCTTTTACAATGATAAACCCATGTGCTCTTATGGTGATCCAGCCTACTCATTGCGTATGCACCTACAAGCAACATATAGGAACAGGCAACTTACAGTCCACATGCAAGAATTAAACAAATCAATGAGTGCTGTAAGGATATTAGTTGAGTGGATTTTTGAGAACATAATAAACTACTTTATGTTTCTTGATTTTAAAAAAGATCTATAAATCAGCCTTAGTTGTGTTGGAAAATTTTATATAGTGGCTTCATTGCTTAGAAATGCTCTGACCTGCTTGCACTCAAATACAACCAGTAAATTTTTTCAACTTGAACCACCTTCACTTCAAATGTACTTTTCCTAATTTTTTAAAAGCTTCATCATGTGATTATAAAGCCTATCAACAATAAATAAATAACTGTTTAAAGAAAACATATTGTCTACAATTTAGCGACATTGTTATCTCATTTCTCAACCAATTTAGCCAAAAGGGAAATCAAAGCTTGCCCATGTTGTTGTTGTTGTTGTAACAAAAGCAATTGATTTTGTTGCATTTATTGGTTCTGCTGTCTTTGCATTTCCATAAAACTCTCAAATTGCTTGTTTTGCTTTTCCATCAGTTGCTCCCTGATTTTTTTTTCTGCTGCTATTTGTTGCCTCTGCAATTCCAGTCTTCCTCTTTCCAAAAGCAAACTGTCCTCTTTTACTTTTCTCTCTTTCTCAGTCTTCTCCTTTAGGAAATCTAAGGTTGATTCCCCCCTCTTCTAACTTTTTTCTTAACCGGACCCTCATCATTTTCTTTTATCTGCTTGGTTTCTGCTAGATGCTCCATGGCTCTTTTTCGCATTTATTCTGCAGCTAGTTTATCAGCATCAGTTTTCTTCCTTTCAGTAGCATTAGCTTCAGCAGCCACAACATCATTTGCCTCCTCTTTAGCATTAATTTCCTCTAGCAAGTCATCCAGCTCATCATGTCCTGGAGAAATTCCACTTGCAGCTCTTTCTTCTCTCTCCTTTACACGGTAGTTGGCTATCAATTTTCGCATACGATCTATAACTGATCGCTGATCTACTCGAAAGCATAGATGGTCATGAAGTTCCAACTTTATGGCAATGCTGTCCCACAACTTTCTTCTTTCGATAGATTTCTTCCTTGTCTCAAAGATTTATGACACCACTACCTCTTTGCACAATTCAATGTCATGTTTTATAGTCCATTTTATCACAAAGCCAATTCTAAACAGAATTTAGACATGATGAGTAGGAATCAAGCAATATACAAGGTCAATTCTCTTAGGTAGAACCTGCATGAAAAGAGTTAAAAGAACTAGTATAATATGCTTACATATCTAATTCAGTATAAATTAGAATTATTTGGATGTATAATATTTTATACATGTTTCATTACTTCGCCAACTTAAAAGTTAAAGTTCACAGAATGTCTAATGCTCATTAAATATCCAAAACTTTGTAAGGGCTTTATTCCCTCCCATACTTGAAAAAAACAACATGATAGCAGCAAAGAATACATGGCTTTGTTATTGATTTGATTAAAATTATCAATATCTACTGATATCCTAGGATTTCATGCCCTTTCTCACCAAAGAAAAAAAGTTTAACTTACGGTGAACTTCTTGAGTATGATGCTTCAGAAGTCATACTTTAAATTAAGAATTCCCTATTACAAATAAAATTTGAGTTTACAAGATGTCTTTGAGATTATGTTTTATTATAAATTTTTTTATCAAATGTGTATGGCTTGGCAGTTAGGCATTTTATCTTTTTACAGAAGGAAAGCACATTTTCAATTACCAGAGAAGCAGAAATAGGACTTTTCAACCTTTTTATTTTCTCCAATTCGCAAAATGGTCTTCCGCTCTACGACGACTCCAAAACAAGTAAAAACGCCGCGTCGTACGTTAAGTAATTTTTTGGTCGTCGGCGTTGTTAATGTCTAACGTTGTATAAACCTTGCTTAACCCTTTAAGTACCAGTGTCTGATATATCCAATGAACTCTACAACAACTGGAAGGCTAACTCATTATACACAAACCAAGACTTGTTTGGGAACTGTAGCGATTAACATGGCCAAACCATACAAGTTTCCGTTGCTTTACAATGGCTAGGTGCTGTTGTTGTTTGCCTGCAGCATTATCAATTTGTTGCCTGACATACTGGTTGGTCTTGTGCTCTGAGTAATGGATGCCTAGTAGTTTTCTGTAGCGCTTGTTCTCAAATGCCTGGATCCGCCTTTCCGTTTCTGCATTCAACATCCAGCTTTCACATCCATACAAGAGGATAGAAATCACCAGTGATTTGTATAACTTGATCTTAACAGGGAGGCTGATATTTGTGCTCTTCCAGTTGGTGCCGAGTCTATTCATTGCTGCTGTAGCTGTGCTTCGCCACAATTCCCTGGCTAAGACAATACTCCAGGGAACCGTAGAAGGAGGACGTAGAAGAGGCCGTCAACGAAAAAGCTGGCTCGACAATGTTAAAGAGTGGACTGGACATATACAAAGCAAATTGCTGAGAATGACAAAAGACCGAAGACAATGCAGATCCCTGACTGCAGTCTCTATTATGACACACCTACGACATGAAAATGTCACGGGACTGACATGACATGACATGACAGACTTGTTTGAAGCCACATACAAGCTGATTTGCCGCTTTGCGTGTATCTCGCGTGGACTGTTTTATTTGCGTCACTCGAGAAGCTTTTATAAAAAAACGGCATGGCTTACCATGTAAATTTTTCAGGGCGGCTAAAAACTTCAAATACTTCAAAATCGGGTATGAAATTTGAAAAGCTGCGTGATCAAATCTAAAATAAAATCGACAAGAGACGATGGGTGTAATTATTTGCTTTATTTTGTGAAAAATGAAAATGTGATGTGCGCGAATCTGCTTATGAACAGTTGAACATTGAAGGTAATCTCTTTCTTTAAAAATTTAGAAAAATAATCAAATACGGGTTATATAACAGGATCAGAAAACGTTTCACTGATTTTTGAATAAAATGAGCTTCGTCAGATGATGCCGGTCGCTTTGTTGTTCTTTTGCTACAACTGATTTGTTGTAACGTTTTCCATACGTGAATAATGGAAGCTTGAAGTATCTCTCTGCTGTAAGTTTGATGAGCTTAGACCTGTGTTCTTCTTCCAAATGATTTGTTGTAACGTTTTCCATACGTGAATAATCGAAGCTTGAAGTATCTCTCTGCTGTAAGTTTGATGAGCTTAGACCTGTGTTCTTCTTCCAAATGATTTGTTGTAACGTTTTCCATACGTGAATAATGGAAGTTTGAAGTACCTCTCTGCTGTAAGTTTGATGAGCTTAGACCTGTGTTCTTCTTCCAAATGATTTGTTGTAACGTTTTCCATACGTGAATAATGGAAGTTTGAAGTATCTCTCTGCTGTAAGTTTGATGAGCTCAGACCTGTGTTCTTCTTCCAAATGATTTGTTGTAACGTTTTCCATACGTGAATAATGGAAGTTTGAAGTATCTCTGCTGTAAGTTTGATGAGCTTAGACATGTGTTCTTCTTCCAAATGATTTGTTGTAACGTTTTCCATACGTGAATAATGGAAGTTTGAAGTATCTCTCTGCTGTAAGTTTGATGAGCTTAGACCTGTGTTCTTCTTCCAAATGATTTGTTGTAACGTTTTCCATACGTGAATAATGAAAGTTTGAAGTATCTCTGCTGTAAGTTTGATGAGCTTAGACATGTGTTCTTCTTCCAAATCACCTTTTACCAATACAGTCTCGTGGTCTTCAAACACTCGATGGCTGGAATTCATAATGAAATAATTGCAGACGTTAAGGGTCATTCTTTGCTTAATCTTTTTTGTAATTAAATATGCTTCGGGGTTAGCTTGTTGCCAAGGGTAAACCCCTCACTTTCCTGGAGGGTGGTTAAGGACTCAAAAAACTCCCATTTAATTGAGTTCTTTTTGCCATTAACAAATGATTTCAAATGATGTAGGGCATTTCTTGCTAATTTCAACATATGACATGGATCAAGGATAGCGTAGATGTAGTACTTTTGTGTAGGATGTTTGAATTTTGTAATTATTGTGTTGTAGGATGTTGTGAAAGTGCAACCAAGTTATCTGAACATTGTAAGGTTTACTGCTGTACCATCTGTTGTGATTGATCACATACGAAGTCCTGCTTCAGCTGCCAATGAAAGTGCCATATTGGCAAGTTCGGCTTTTGTTTTGCCACTCATTTTGGTTGCAAGAAAATATCCTATTGGACATTTCCAATGACTTCGTGCACCCACAAGAAGAAATACAACGGCTTCAGTTGCAATTTCACTTGTCGTTTCAGTTGGTATTGGTCTATAGTCAACAAAGCCCACATATCTCTCTTGATTTGCATCCCACAAGGTTTGTTTCTAATTTCCATTGCATCTCTTACAAGGAAGCCATCTCTCTTGTCTGTAGATTTTTTGACTTCTTCTGATAATGAAATGAATGCTTCCTTAATGAATCCAGGCTCACATTTTTTAGTGCTGGACCATTTTTTATCATTGATGGAATTGGAAGAGGCTATATTGATCTAACATACTCATATGCCTTTGGTGAATAATAGTTAATAGTTGTTGAAAATTCTTTCACAGTGTCTGAATATCTTCGTGCACAAGGTGCACAATTAACATTGTTCTTGGTGTCTCTAAATATTGAGAGTTGTATCTGGTCAAACTTCGCATGCAAATGTTCAGCAGCATCACTTCATATAATCAGTTTTTCTTTTAGTTCCTGAATAATGTCTGTCATTGTTTGTTGTTTTGTCCGTCATTGTTTGTTGTTTTGAACTTTAATGTCCATACCAGAAGAATGGAGAACAAGCAGAATAGTGCCCTTACAAACAGAAAGGTGATCCCTAAGCTGTGTAAACTATCGAGGCATTAAACTCCTCTGCCACTCACTGAAATTATTTGAGAGAGTGATAGAGGCGAGACTGAGAGAAATAGTGAAGATAAAGGACAACCAATATGGATTCCAACGCGGAAGATCAACCACTGAGCCGATGTTCTGTCTGCGGATGCCTTAAGAGAAGTATAGAGAATTCAACAAAGAGCTACATATGGTTTTCGTGGACCTTGAAAAGGCATATGATACAATCCCAAAGGGAGCTACTATGGTACTGTCTAAGGAAGCGTCAAGTCCCGGAGGCCTATATTGAAACCATCAAAGATATGTATAAGCGCTCTACCACGAGTGTCGCAACGAACGTTGGTGAGACTGAAAATTCAAGTAGAGGTCGGGTTACATCAAGGCTCGGCACTAAGCCCCTACTCTTTATTATCATTATGGATGTAATCTCGGATGACACGACAGAGGACACACCTTGGAGTATGATGTTTGCAGATGATTTGGTCTTGTGTGATGAGAAGAGAGAACATCTGGAAGGAAGACTAGAAGAGTGAGAAGATTATTAGAAGATGTTGGCTTGGTTAGTAGAGCCAAGGCGGAGTACCTCCCACCGAGTGACTGCATAGGAAACATCAAGCTAAGAGAATATGCTGGACCCGGAAATACAGATCTACCAAAGTGCGAGACATTTAAGTACCTCGGGACCACCATCCATCAGGATGGCGGTTGCAAGACCGAGGTTTAACTACGGATTAGCCGGGCATGGAATAAATGGAGAGAGTTAACGGGAATGCTCTGTGATAAGAAGATGCCGAAGAAACTGAAGATCCTCATCTACAAAACGGTGATACGCCCAGTGCTTCTGTATGGGAACTTGGCCTGTTACAGACTACCTAGCAGAGAAGATCAGTGTATGCGAGATGAGAATGATACGCTATTGTCTTGGAGTCAGCCTGGAGGAGCACAGAACAAATGAAAGCATAAGAGAAGAAGAATGTCATGAGTATACTGAAATTGATGAGAAAAAGACTGCAGTGGTTCGGACATGTGTGCCGGCGTGAAGAAGATGTAGACATTCGGAGAGTTTATGAGATGCAAATGGAGGGGAGACGGAAACGAGGACAAAAGCATGGTGAAGGATACCATCAGGAGAGACATGCAGCTATGTGGTGTCAAAGAAGAGGATACCCAGGACAGAGCAGCCTGGAGAAGTCTCATAGAACTGGGTCTCCGGCAAAGACCCGCTACCCGAGCAGGAGAAAGCGGAGAAAGGTGACCAAAGGTGACCATTGTTTGTTGTTTTGATTAGTCCGCCTTAGTTGTTGTTGCAATCCTCTAATTTTTCTTTTTAATTTTCCTTCCAGGTATGTTCATGACTCATTTGCTTCTCAAATGTGTCATATCCGCAGAAAATGTTGCTGGTGTCGTGTTGTTAGCAAATGTTACTGGTGTTGTAGCCATAAAATTGTTACTGGAGTTGCAACTGTAGATGTTGTGGTTTGAATAATTGACAGTTGAACAGAACATTCAATGCCAAGGTTATGGTTGCAATAAAACTGCAAGCCTAGAAATATAAAGATAAGTAGCTATATATACTAGTGTATAATTAAAAGTAAAAACTTAATCAGGGTTGTACTTGATATAAAGTTGTAAGCATGTAACCATTTGACCATGTGACTGACTAACCTTAGAAGAAATAAGATAAATACATGTTGGACGATTTTTGCCGCTTATTCTCCAGATCACAAAATGAATTCTCGAATATATTTTCTTTTCGTTAAATAATCTGTGAAAGTGTTAGACATGAGACAACCGGCGATAAGCAACATCACAGTCCATATCATCGTGTTGATGAACACCTAAAGTTAGAAATTTATAAAAGATTTTTTTTAATTTTATTAGGGATCTTTAGAGTAGCATAGGATATGTTGTCCTTCATCAACTAAAGTTGTAGAGCAATGAAGCGTTACATCATTCTTAATACTAATAAGTATTGCAAGAAAAAACCACAAATATGATTCATTATGGGTGTTGTTTTTAATGCTATATCTAAAATAAATACTCTTTTATCAAATAAAAAATGGCCGATTTTTGTTTACCTATAACTAATGGCCAGTTAATGATGGTGATTTGCTCATGCAATGCAATTAAAAAGAACACAAGCATCACCATGGCAACAACTAAAGAAGTAACCATGGCAAACATTCCAAAATCTAAGCTTCCTGTCCCTGCCCAAGAATTGAGGGCACAACCTGCATCGTCTAAAAACAGCCTCATTAAAACAATGGCACACAATAGCATAACCTACAGAAGAATGAAATGTTGCATCTATATTATATCCCTAAAAAATGAGATATACATAGCATATCAACTGCAATGCATTTATGATTAAGTCATAAGTTTAGATAAAATGTTTTACTCACAGACGCGAATAATTTATCGACACATTGACTCGTTTTTAGAAACGAAAAGCCTTTCAGTGTCATCCCCATGTTTGGCTTTGTTGATTGTATATAAAAAAAAGAGTAAATTATCGTAAATTGACACAAAAAATGAAAAGCAAAAATTATTAATCGAAGGCAATTTGCTTTAAATTCATTCGTACTCTGAGGCAAAAGAGCTAAATGTTTTTGGAAGAAGGTTGAAGCTTCATCAAATTTTTTTAATTTCAATGTTTATCAATCCCAGAAAGAAACGACTTTTGATTATGAATCGAAGAAATTTAAAGATCTAAATGACCGGCAACAAAGAAAGAAGTAGCATAGTTAAATTTCCAGCCAGCATTTAAAACTCACCAAGAATAGTTTCACAGTTACTTTCAAATAGCGTGGAGTTGAAAATTGAAACGCGTCAACTGTAGTTCAAGAGACTCACGCTATACAACTAAATTGTTCGATATGAGTTTTACTCAATAGTTCACAACGGGAAGCTATGCATTATTTACGAGCAACTTGTAAACAAAGGAACTCAACTGCATCATGAGTTGGGAAAACACAGAAACAATTTGTAACAAAGGAAGAAGATTGCGCACGCGCAGTTTAATTTTCGTTGATGAGTTGGCTGCAATGGAGTTATAAAAATACTTCGTTTTTCCTTTTTTCTGTCTTTTTCTCTACTTTACTTTAAAGAATCGCATTAGCACAACAAGAGGCAGTAGGAATTTTTATTCTACAGTAGGAAAAACAAACCTTAGCAACAATTTGCTGAGTAAATTGGTCCTGCATGTTTAATGAGATTAGTAACTGCAGTTAATCATTTCATCATTCCTATTGGTCAAAAAATAAAACAGACTGTCTGCCACTTTGATGATGACAAGTGTAATAAGATAAACGTTGCACAATCTTCTATAATCTATATCTCCAACATATAGAGTCTTCTTTCTAAAGTGAAAACGCTTCATCCTCAGGCTTTTTTGCCAATCTTTCTTTTCATACGTCTTTCATTATCCATATGATTATTAACACTATTAAAATTCCGTATACATTCATACATAGAAATGATAATATTTAAACACACTAACATGAGTAACCTCGTCAACTTAAGGGTCGTATGAAGTAGCTATTTACAGCAACTATAAAATTGCACATTAAAGTTATTTACAAAACGCTACATACAAAAAAATTAATACTTAGAATATGACATAGTGTAAAAGGTAATAAGTCAATTACGTAATCACAATTGATTTCAATAGAAATTAATAAAATAGAACGTGTATTATAAAAATATTACCCCTCTGAACCAATTATGAATCTTCGGCCACCCTTGTTACTTTTTACCAAATAATACTGCACATTTTCAGTTTATCTATGATAATAGGGACCTTAGTTAAATAATCAGTTGAAACTCAGTTTGTTGGCTTCATTTATTTAACAGAAGTACAGTTTTAAGTAAAATCGGTGAGAAAAATAGCTACAGTTTCAACTGATTATTTAATTAATGTCACTGGCGTCGTCGTACAAGTTCTGCTTTTGAATAAATGATAGTTTAAGTTTGCATCGACTGCAAAAATAATGGTTGCAATGAAACAGCAAACCTGAAAAATAGAGATAAGTATGCTAAATATTTGAAACACCCAAAAACTTTTCTTTGGCAGACTAATACTTTATATAAGTGGGTTGCAAAATGTGATTAAGTAGTCATTTAACTCATTGATATGTGTGTTACGTGGATCACGCATCACTAATTAAATTTGAAGCCAGAAGGCGGCCATATTGAACAGTCCCACTTCACGAGGTTGACGTACAAAGTATATTAATTTCTGCTGTGAAAATTTCAAATCGTTTAAGGTGCATTGAAAAACTGCTACGTATTAGCTTTAACAACATTAAGTGAAGGAAGCAGTTTTACTATTAAGAAAAGATTTTTTTCCAAAATTTTCGTGACACCATTTGAGAGAACTATCGCAAAAGAATACTTCTAGCTTCACGTTGAAAGATATTTTAGGGTGTCTTAGTACAATGCGCTGCAAAATTCATTGCTATCGTGGTTCTTTACTACAGATTATTATTAAGAATGGGACTGTTCATTATGGCGGCGCATCTAATTATAGCTGTCTACTTCCGGCTTCAAATTTTTGCACTAAAACGATATCGGAAATGCACGAACCTTGTAAGATACATATCAATGATTTAACTACGTGAATGACTAACCGTAGCACTAATAAGATGAAAGCATGTTACACCGACTTTATCAGTGTCCAGGGAATTACATAGTGTATTATAGATCTTCTTGCTATAATATTTTCGAAGAGTGTTGGACATAACACCACAGGCTATTAACAGCATTACACCCCATAGCACCATGTTGATGAACATCTAGAAATAGAAATTTTAAAGAAATTCAGGTTTCTCCACGAGAAAAATGAAATATAACATTGAGTACGATACTTTTCATCAACAAAAATACTGTGCAATATTATCTTGATGGCAATCATTGATTCAACAAAAACAAAATTTCCTTAATATTTTATACCTACCGTCAATGGCCAGTTGATCACAGTGACTTTTTCATGCAATCCAGTTACAAAAACAACGACCATCACCATGACAACAATCCACGAGACGACAATTGAAAACATTCCAAAATATAGGCTACCTTTTCCTCCCCAAGGGTTGATGGCAGAACCTGCGTTGTCTAAAAATGCTCCCAATGTACTTATTGCAATCAATAGTACACCCTACAAATGAATGAAATATTTCGATATATATGCATAAAGTATGGAACTGAAAAATATAACACGTGTATAGTATATAATTTGACCGAATGCAGTAATTGCGAGGGTCGGCCATAAATTTAAATAAAGTAAACCACTTACAAATTCTGCTATCTTCAAGAAAAAGGGAATCGTTTTGATGTATTTAGTTCCCTTCAGTATCGTCCCCATGTTTGGCTATAATGATGATATGCAAAGAAAAGTAAGTTGACGTCATGACTGGTTGAAAAATGACATGTCAAAATTATTAATTAAAACCAAACTTAGGTCAGTTATATTACGCTTGTGTGCTTAAAATTGGATTTTTTGTTTTTCCAGTTGCTGTGTAAAAGAGCCTGTATTTTAGAAAAAACGTTGAAGTATCAGACATTCAATCCATAATTTATTAATTATGGAGAAAAAAAACACTTCTGAGTATATTAATTCGATAAGAAACATAAAAATAAAATGACAGTGAAGAAGAAAGAAAGAACATAGTGAAATTTCCAGCAATCGTATGAAACACTTACCGCAAAAAGTTTCGCAACTACTTGTGAACGATATGCAAAGATAGCGTTGAGTTGAAAAATTAAACACGCAAGCTGTTGTTCAGAAGACTCGCACCTCTTTACAATAATTAGTACAAGTCTCGTTATATATAATGTTATGAAAGTTATGCATTATTGATCAATCACCACCTTGCAAGGAAAATGAACTCACATGTCACTGGAAAAACACAAAATATTTCATATATGGCAGATTGTCAGATTTAGCGACTCATATATTTGGTTCAATTGTCGTAGTATAAAAATGCACTTTTTTCACATGTCGCTGGCGTGAGAACGTTTGCTATAGTACTATAATTATATAAATGTGTTACATTAATGATGTTACAATTTAGCGCATTTAAAATACTGCATTAGTCAGTTCAACAAAAATCACCACAGTGGCCCTCCACCCTACTGTATGTTATCTATACTGTGTTTCTGCTGTGCAAATTTTATGTCCTTTTTTACTCAATTCCATATTTTAAATAAACACAAAATATCTTCAATGTATTAGTAAAAAAATTGCGTTGTTCGTCACTGCTAATCAAATCCAATATTATCTTAACACATCAATCTATAATTTGATAATTGACTGTAAATCATAGAAACACTCTTATTTCGATAATAAAAGGTAAAGTATGGATCTGAAATAATGACCTTGAACCACTTCCAGTAAACATGTGAAAAAGCAGGTAGCAAAGGAAATAGTTATATCTTGAATCAGCACCTGTCCGCATGGACTCCATGCTGTCTGATATTTTTAATATAACATCTGTATGAAAATTTTGTTTAGGAGATAGAAACGAGAATTAGAATCAGATGTTTTCTGGAAAAATTCACAGGTAGGCATAAAATATTATTTAAGCACGCGGGTTTGGTGATGTAAATTTATTAAAAGTATGATTACACAATTTATATCACAAGTAAAGGAATAATTAATTGCGAGTTTCAATTAAATTTGCTCTTGCAATAATTTATTCGTAAATCCACCAGTTATTCTAAAGAGTAGCGTATTTTTAAATGAAGCTAAAAATTTCAAGAAAAGTATTGTTTCTATAACATATGCAGAAAAAAAGGACTTTAGTGTTAGGTGTTGACTGTCTATAAACAAGTTGTTTATAATGATGTGGCAGAGAGACAATTAAGATGGCGCTTTTTTAGTCCATCATTCCTATAAAGCTTATCAACTTAAAATAAATAATTCCACGAGTACTTTCAGACGATAAGCAAGGATCCCAAACACAAAGTACACAATATCCAACGCTATTCTGCGTTAGCATTGTATGAGCTCGATAAGCCATCAGTCCAGATCCATGCAACGAATCACCATAAGACAAGCTTTCAACTGATCTGTCTCTTGTTAACCTTTGACACCCCTTATTCCGTCAAGAAATCCACTTGTCAGTCAAACATGATTCCAGATCAGTTAAAACTTAACTGAACTTGTAACCTGCGCGATTTATAGTGGTTTATTGCCCCTTTATCTATCTTATTATTGTTTCTAGAAAAACAACCTGGCAATAAGTTAAAACGTTTGATGTATTCTTCTAAAAAAGCCAGTCATGTGTCCGATACAATATCTCCTCGACCTTGAGACTAAACCAAAGGTAATAATAAAAACCTTCTCTAGCCGACAATTTGAAAAAACAAATGAGAAAACACACTTCAAATTTCATGAATCTTCGGACACTTTTACACGGACTTTTACCGCAGCTGACAGGGGTTTCTCGGCCGTAGCCGTCGAAAATTCCGGTCGGAGTCGGTGCTTTCTCGGCCGAAGCCGGAAATTGAGCCACTAACCATCACAAACAGTGACCACTAATCACCTCATAACAATCCTCCACTAAGCCATGGTACGCACTACACATACGAGCTTCTGGCAAGTCACCTTCAGGGGCGAAACTAGAATGTTAAGTGGTGGAACGTGAATATTCATATATTCAACTCTGCTTGATTGATTTGGTTTGTCTGCCATTTGAGTAGCTGAATGTAGGAATATTCTCACCCACCCACATAACGTTTTAGTTTCGCCTTGGTCTCCTTAGCCTACCTTTTTTCATTTAAGTTCACTTGCTTTTACAGCATTTGATAAAAAGGAAGTTTATTAACGCGCTACACAATTCAAATACGTAAAGACAAAGTGCATTAGCATTTGTTTAACATCAATATGGCAAATCAGTAATTTCAATGAGATCCCTTCATTATTCATTCTCTTAGCGAAAGTCAACAGCGTTAGTCAAACGTCAAAAGCATTTAGTGAGCATTTATTAAAGTTTTGGGAAGTACAATAGCATAATAACAAATAACATTAAAACTCCATAAAATGTCAATAACAATATATGTTTGCAATGGCATGATTATAACCATCAATATAGCAGAACTATTTATCCGTACGGTGTCTGCCATTTGAAGATAGACTTGAGAAAGTTTTTCAAATGTAGGAACTAAAATTTGTCCGTCTTCACTGTGTTTGCGTCATTTTCACTGGTTTACAGTGAAGCGGAAGATCTGGTTTAAATACGCGCACAATAGAGACGACCACTTTAACACTTTCACATTCATACACTTAAAAAAAATAAAAAGAAAGATTCTTGAGGGTTAATCATGCAATTGCAAACATATAGTAATATTGACATTTTATAGAGTTTTAATGTTATCATGCTATTGTACTTTCCAAAACTTTTATTAATGAACATACATTCTTTTAACATTTGGAATTCATAATGAAGTAATCTTATTGAAACTGATCATTTGCCATATTGATTTTACAAAAATGCTATTGATTTTTTTTATACGTCTTTGAATTGCGTTTTATTTAAATGACATGCAAATGCTTAAACTGACATATTTAAAATATAGTTGACTTTAGTGAAATCGATATCTATAGCGGAGAGTCAATCTTCTGTTGTAGCTACAGACTGAAATTCAGACCTTGAACCTTGCTTGTAATGTAAGCGATGAATTTTCATTTTTATAGACACTAGAGCCGTACATTTTCAGCAATAATTATGACAAGAAGAGAAGATGTTTTTAGCAAATGGAGACCAAACTTCAACATTACCTTTCTAACAATTTGTACTACATTGTATTTGTTCTATCATCTTCCTAAACTTACTTGGTGTGTATTGCTTCTTTTGAAGTTATTCTCATTTCAATGTAGATTTGTCTACCCAGGAAATGAGTCAGTTTTAAAACAGGAGGAGAAACTGACCGACACGAGTTGCAAGGCTCTGAAAAGAGCTCAGAAGCAGGTAATGTGTGTTTTATTGATGTTTTATGCGATATACATGAATGTCAATGTTGACACTCAGGTAATATTTTTCTTACAAATAACTTTATTTTTTGTCATTGAAACGCTATAAAACATGAAACTAACCCAAACCATGTACGCTACTGTTGAAAGCAACAGGATTAAATTTTGCTCAGTATGTTTCACAAAAACTTAGAAAATGTTTCACAACACATGCGCTCACTGTTTACTGTAGAAATGTAAACGGGAAATGTTTACTGTTGTAAAATTTTACTTTATTTCGATATACCGTTTGAACGTAAAATATGATTCAAATTATTGGATTTTGTTTCACGCCAGTCCGTCAAGTGTAATGATATTTTCGTTTCTATGCAAAAGAAAAGTGCACATTAAACTGAGGTAGCTAGAAGCATCAAGAGATCCATTTCCAGAAAGAAAAAATTTTGAGATAACGGTTGGGACAAATTGGCAGTGAAACACAAAATTTTTCTGAGTTTGATCAAATTCCTGTTAAATTTCCATCCACAAAATGTAACACTAACCAAGAATAGTTTCACTACTACTTATAAAGATAAGCAAGAATAAAGTAAAGTTGAAAACTAAAGGTGGAAGCACGATCTTAGTTTCACCGTTTGATACACTCATACCGAAAATGAACTGTACGAAAGCAGATCTCACAGCATAGTTTTAATTGAAGATAGCTCGGTGTGTATTTCTGTAACATTTCAAGAGAAAATTCATCAAAGTTCGCTTGTTCGTGATTTTCTTTGATGTCAGCTTGCATTAAACTTCGTAATGCCAGTTTTGTTTGGTGGACCATAAAGTATGCAGCTTTTTGTGTGCAATTTACGATAAAATCTTAGTGTCTAAGTGCAAACGTTCAAAGTTCAAACTACCCAAAAATAATGTTCACGTTTTATTTGAGTAAAAAAAGCATTCTAAAACTACTGTTACATAAGAGTAAAACAATTCAAAATGAAAATGACACCTTATATATAATCAGTGTGCATCTGTGATGATAAACGAGCTTTAATTGTCAAAGAAAATATTGCAAAAGTTCAATCCGCTGTCAAAAAGAACCGTTCAAGTATTCAAGTAAACCGTTGGTAAAAAGTACAGTTTGACC